TTGTAAATCACGGCTTCTAATGCGAGGCGTTTCCCCAGGTCCAATTCCACGGGACCTCCTCATCTGATCACGTTAACCATCAATGCCATGATTACCAATAATCGCGGGGTCGATGGTGCTTTAAGCAGAGGTTATCTATGGCTTCATCTGCATCAAATGTGACGAATCCAGAACCAGATGCGTAACATCGAACCACCGCGCCACGGAACTCGGGGAGCAAATTCTCCAACCAAAATCCGGCGTCAGCACGCGATCAACATCCAAACTCTCCAGAAGCTCGACGGCAGGAATCTAGCCAAAGATGATGGAGTGTTTAATCAGCCGGTTGTTGGCTCGACGATTCGCCCTACCCTCCCCCGCGGAAGCGGATCCGGGGCGCATCGGCGACGGCGGTGCACTCGAGTGGGGGTTACGCGATACCAGGGCCCGATTGTGTGCTCGTCAACCAACATCAGCCCAATCCCCTTTAAGAGATCATCACCCGAAGAAATCGAGTTTGAAGGGCTGGACTCGTGCGGGGAAAACTAATAGCTAAAGTGCGATTGCAAGCTTCCGATTTCCTAACTCCGTGTTCCCCTCAATCTGAAGTCCGACCCAATTCTTGGCTGAAGTACTTACTTTACCTGCCCAGCAAGAAGCTTCGTGCGAAGCTTTTGATCGACGGGATACCAAGAGTGTCTATAAGCGATTTCAGTTAGATAAATCTGTGCGCTAGCGAACAAGCTCAGCACTCATAGTACCTGATCCCTAGGGTCATAGGGGAAACCTGTCTAAAGTGATTTGGCAACAATCGGTTCCGGACCGTCCCGGATAATCGACCGTCACGCAGCCTTTGTCAATCTTCAGAGAATCTCCTGCATGTCAATGACAGGATGTCTATCGGATGTTGTCCGCACCAAGGATGACAGACGCGCGCTTGTGCGGCGTTGTGCCTACAGTGCCTTCAGCTGTGTCCAGCACGCCATCGTATCCAGAAACCTCGTCAGCGATATGCCCAGTTCTCCCCTAGTTGGCCATGCGAGCCTGCTCCGATGTTGGCCCGAAAGACCCTGAAAACTTGGAAAACGCGACGCAAGAATATTCCGCATGTTCTGCTATATAAAGTCTAGCGTTTGCATCGAATGTCGTTATTATTCTAGATTATGTCGATCCAGGCGCGAAGCTGATCACTTACTCGTTCTTCTGGTTCTGAGACCAGCCAGCTGCAAGTATGGGAGTCCCAGAGATCGAAAAAACTACGGTCGCCGACTCGCCTCGGAGCAAGTCGCCATCTTCCGTCGACGCGCGAGGGGTCCAACCAACTGTTGTTGAACTCGTGCAAGAAGAACCGAAGCTCACATGGCGGTCATATGTCTGGGATACCTTGGACAAGTCACCTGAAGAACGCAAGTTCATGTTCAAGCTTGATGCTGTCATTCTCACATTTGCAAGTCTGGGATACTTCATCAAGTAAGTTGGCTCTTACTGGACAGCTCACTATCTGTACTAACATTTCATCAGGAACCTTGATCAGATTAACATCAACAATGCGTTTGTGTCTGGCATGAAAGAAGACATGAAGCTCTTTGGTAACGAGCTTAATTACATGCAAGCCTGCTGGACCGTCGGATATGTCATTGGCGAAATTCCGAGGTAAGCTCAACGCCAATATGAACTCCTCATTCGATAGTGTTAGTAGTACTGACTATTTTCTACAGCAACATCCTTCTCACCCGCGTCCGCCCATCAATCTGGATCCCCGCCTGCGAATGCACATGGGCCGTCCTAACAATTCTCATGATCAAATGCACAAATGTCACCCAGCTTTACGTTCTCCGGTTCTTTATCGGTCTCGCCGAGAGTACATTTTACCCAGGCATGCAGTATATCATCGGATGCTGGTACAGAAAGGACGAACTTGCCAAGCGATCCTGCCTTTTTCACTCCGCAGGCTCCATCGGCTCCATGTTCTCGGGCTACCTCATGGCTGCCGTCTACAATCTTAGTGGCGTTCATGGATGGAAGGGCTGGCAGTGGCTCTTCATCGTCGATACCGTTATTTCCCTGCCGATTGCGATTGCCGGGTTCTTCTTCCTGCCTGACGTGCCCGAGATCACAAAAGCCTGGTGGTTGACCAAAGATGATGTGGCGCTCGCACAGAAACGAATGCAGCTTGAAGGTAGAGCGAATCGTCAGCCATTCACAAAGGCCAAAATCAAGAAGATTTTCACCAGTTGGCATATTTACGCCCTTACAGCGCTTTATATCTTCTTCAACAACGGATGCGGAATCATGAGTCAGCCTGCGTTCCAGTTGTGGTTGAAGGGAGAGGGATACTCTGTTAAGGAGTACAACACGTATCCGACAATAACATCAGCCATCACGGTGATAACAACATGGATCTACGCCTGGTCCTCAGACTCAGTCTTCAAGGGCGAGAGATGGCCGCCGATAGTCTTCTCCGGGACACTCAACATTGTGATCTACTCGAGTTTAGCGGCGTGGAACATCTCCGATGCCTGGAAGTGGGGTTGTTTCCTGCTCGTTGGATTTGGTGGCGGCATCAGCGGGTTGACCTTCGCGTGGGCTCATGAAATTTGCAAAGACGATAACGAAGAGCGCGCGCTCGTAACGGGCTCGATGAACCAGATGGCGTACGTTTTCCAGGCGTGGTTGCCGCTGCTTATTTGGCAGCAAGTCGAGGCTCCGCGGTACCCGAAGGGTTATATCACGATGATATTCTTTGCTGTTGGTATGGCGGGCACTTCGTTGTTGATCAGGTTCTTGCACCGTCGGGAACTGGGGAAGAAGCTCTCGGTTCCGGCTGCTTAAAGTGATGGAAAACGTCTTGCGTAATGAATTGCGTCCGGTGGTATTCATAACACCGCTATGTAATCACGTGCAGAGGAGCTCTTCTAGGTTGATGAGTCACTAGAACGCAGGGCAGGATACTAGGTCTAGTCGTCACGATAGTTCCTAACACTTTGAATTGCATGGCAACTCGATGAGTGGATATCACTCCATATCGCTCCTATCATACAGTAGGGAACACATGTAATGCCCAGCCTAGTTCGAGAACCTCCAGATATCATTTAGATACAATTACGCTAGTCCGTCTCAACTGCATCCAACTCTTGATACAACTCCTTTTTCACTTCCTCGCTAGCCCAACACATATCGACTCCATTCCTCGCCAGCTTGACCATATCCTCCTTACTAAATCCACAGTAGGTATACGCCTTCTGCATGTTGCCATCCACCCAAACATCATGCATATATACCGGGTCATCGCTGTTAATGTTAAACTTGACACCTCTCTCCCACAACGTCCGAATCTTGGGAAACAGCACTTCTGTCGCCGTCCGCCGGTGATACGCGTGGGGACACAACGTCAAGCCGATACCTCGATTCAACAACCCCTGCAGAAGTTCCTCCTTATCCGCCGCATCAAGCCCGTGATCAATACGCTCCGCCCCAGCGCCATCACAGACCTCAAAAATCGCCTCGTGGACGTGCTCAAACGTGTCCTTTTGCCCGAAATCGCAATGCATCGTGACATGCAGCCCGTCCTTCTTCGCCCTTTGGAACCCTTGCTCGAAGAGCATCGGCGGCCTCTTGAAAGCGTTGCTGGCCAACCCGATAGCGTGGAAGAGACACTTGCCACCCTCGACGGTGCCAGCAGCCCATGGCCTGGCCGCCTCGTACGCAGCCAACCCGTCCTCGAGGCTTTCATCGCGAATGAAGCAAAAAATCCAGTTTGACTTTACACCATGCACCTCCGCGCCATCACGCTGAGCTCTCAAGTACCCATTCAACACATCCTCAGCAGGCACGCCCCTCCGCGTGTGCGCCTGGATATCGAAAAATGGCTCGACGTAGCGGACATTCATCTCGGCGCAGCGCCGGAAGTAGTCCATTGACATTTCGTAAAAGTCATCTTCAGTCTTCAAGACTTCGCAGCCGGCGAAGTAAGCCTCGAGGAATGTCGGGATACCCGGGACGCGGCCGTTGATTTCGGGACGGTGGTTGAAGAAGACCTTGTATGAGTCCAAGAGGGCCTCGTAGGTTTCGTATTGCAGGGGCACGTTGTTGCGTTTTGCAAGTTTCCAACGGAGGGCGGGGAGAAGAGTTCCCTCGATGTGGATGTGCAGCTCGACCTTGGGGAGGGAGGCGATGAAGGGTGAGATTTCGAGGCCGTTCATGGTTTCGGGCTCATTGGGGTTTGCCCGCTGTCAGATTCCAGAATCCCGGTTGCTGGTGTCAAGATGAGAAGACAAGTGAGAGTTGAGATTCTGATCGTGTAAATGAAGAGCCAATCAAGCGGGCGGGATATGGCTCGAAACTGGGATGTCTTGATATCTCTTTAGCCTCCGCGGGCATCTTTGCCGATCCGGCTGGGCGTCGCGTGGTAAATAGCCCGCCAGTCAGTACTAGTAGTCACACAGCGTCGGACATGGGCCGACAACTCGACGATGGATCTGTTCTCGTCGGCTAATCCAAATTCACAAGCCATTTCTCAATAAGCTTAGTTCTGGAACGTTTGTATACCTCGGCGTGCGAGAATCACGAATCATATCAGACTGAAAACATAAGAATGGAGTTCTGATGGCCGATGTTCGCAGCAATGTGGGGTATTCAAGAAGGATTCGATAAGAAAATTACTAGCAACAAGAGAGTCACAAAATGAAATACTAAGGTTTTGATCCCCCATATTCTGCCCATGGGCGGCCAACCATAACCGCCGAGTCGGTATCGAACGTCTTTAGTTAATGTCAGCAATTCTGCGCTCGTCCACTCACATGGTCTTTACTCATCTCCAAAATCCGTCAAACATCCTCTATTCTCCCCACATCGCGACGGTGCCACGAGAGCTCATTGAACGGCGCGATCGCTGTAGTGGCACTAGCGGAGTAACGTCGTATCTCGTCGGTTCGGATATTCGCCGACAGCACACGAAGGTGGGACGATATCTCCAGGCCAATCCACGCAAGACACTGGAGAACACCGTCTATTCAGCGGAGTCTAGCGGTCGCTAAACCGTTCGCCCACTCCCGTCGCGCGGACGCGAACGCTTGTCTTATCAATTGACGTCCTGTTATCGGACATTGTCTAGACGTTTTGGTCGGTGAATCTACCGGTTCGCGGCCGTAGAACCGTTCGCTGGACAAGGGGACCGGAGCGAGAGAGGGAGGGAAGAGGAGAAACAGGCGAACGCGTCGGGCCTGTCACTGTCGGGGAAGATCGGCGGAAGATAAGGCACGTAACGTACTCTTTTGCTGAATTTCTTCTTTTGGCCGCGGAAAGGTCGCGACCATCCCCGCCCCCGGGACCTTGTTGCATGGCCGCTTCATTCAAAAGGGCGACGACACCCCGGCGCCGCTCTCGAGATGCGACCTTAGAATTTCCAGCAGGAGCTTCGAGTTCTCGGACAGTAGTCGACGACGACGATCTAGAAGAAGACGACCTAATCGACGAACGGCGGAACTTGCTCGCCAACATGGGGTCATCAACAGACGCACCGCAGAACCCTCCCGCCGAGGTGCAGGACGGGGAGAGGCAGCACATTGACAGCGACATGGCCAAGAGGATTGTCCGCAAGATTGATTTCAATATCATCCCGCTGCTCTTCATCACCTACATGTTCAACTTCATGGACAAGACTATTCTGTCCAGCGCCTCTGTATTTGGTCTTAGAACCGACACTGTACGTCGTGCTTCCAGATATAATCCCGCGTACCGTACGAATATTTCATGCTAACCTTGTAAACAGCATCTCAAGGGCCAAAACTACAGCTGGGTCTCCAGCATCTTCTACTTTGGCTACTTCGCCTGGACCTACCCAACCTCCGTCCTCATCGCCCGCCTCCCCGTCGCAAAGTACATGACCGCAAACACCTTCTTCTGGGGCGCCGTCGTCGCCCTCACAGCCGCCTGCACAAACTACGGCGGCCTCCTCACCGTTCGCTTCCTCCTCGGCGTCGCAGAGGCCACCATCACGCCCGCCTTCATGTTCCTCACCTCCACCTGGTACACCCGCGACGAGATCCCCACTCGCACGGGCATCTGGTTCGCCGGCAACAGCGTCGGCGGACTCGTCGCCTCCTTTGTTGCCTTTGGCTTTGGCCACATCTCGAGCGACGACAAGGTCGGCCCCTGGCGCTGGATGTACATCATCCTCGGCGTTCTCACTTTTGTCTGGGCGTTTGTGCTGCTCATCTGGCTGCCCGATACCATCTCCAAGGCCCGCTTCCTCAAGCCCGAGGAGCGCCGGTACGCCGCTGACCGCGTCGTCGTCGCCGGCACGGGATCAACGGAGAAGACGCACTGGAAGTGGGACCAGGTTGTCGAGTGCATGATTGACCCCAAGACGTGGTTCATCTTTGGCCTCGAAATCATCACCCAGATCCCCAACGGCGGCACCCAGAACTTTGCCAACCTCGTCATCAAGTCGTTTGGCTTCACCAGCTTGCAGTCAACACTCATCAACATCCCCTACTCGCTCCTCTCTGCCGCCATCATCGCCGGAACCGGCTGGATCGCCGGCCGCTACCGCAAGATGAACTGCATCCTGATTGCCATTGTCGTTCTGCCGTGCATCACCGGTGCCGCGATCATCTACTCCCGCGAAAGCGTCAGCAGCGGTGTCCAGCTCTTTGGCTACTTCCTGCTGTCCCCCGGACCTGCCGCAATGCCGCTTGCTATGTCTCTCGTTTCGGCGAACTACCGTGGCGTGACCAAGAAGATGACCATGTCGTCTCTGCTGTTCCTCGCCTACTGCGCTGGCAACATTGCTGGCCCGCAGTTCTTCAAGGCCTCCGAGGAGCCTCACTACAACACCGCCTTCCGCACCATCATGATCTGCTACTCGCTCGTCGTGGTGCTGGCGCTCGGTCTGCGGTTCTACCTCCAGTGGATGAACGCCAAGCGCACGAGAGAGGAAGGATACGAGGGCAGCGCTGGTGGTGCTGGCGCTGTTGGTGGCGGTAAGGTCATGCAGGCTGAGGGTATTGCCGGTGATGTCGCGGATATGGTTGATCGGGTTGAGCTTCGGCCTGAGGATTACGAGGATGTGACGGACTGGAAGACTGCCGGCTTCAGGTATCGTCTGTAAGAGTTGTGGTGGCTGGTTTGCTGGCAGAAGCCTGGGTTGATTAAGCCTCGGTAGATGGATACATAGATCATTTGCGGCTCCTCACTCATCTCCCAGAAGAGATGAGACGTGGGAAGTCATAAACTTAATAGACACTTCGGTGAACAAGTACTGGCCGCGCCGAGTGCTGCGTGATAATGTGTAGTGAGATGATGCGACTGTGCTTCAGTCAAAGTGACCCGCGACATGATGCTCAACAGCAGCAGCATCACCCTCAAACTCGCCGCAAACGGGGCAGGTTACGGCCTCAGAAACTGGAGTAGGCGTCGCTTCCTGCACCTCAGCGCCAGAGTTTGCAGCCGCTCTACCTCGCCCACCATTCTTCTGCTTAGCAGGGCGAATGTAAGCCTCAAGTCCAACCTGCGCCGAAGGCAACTCAGGCTCGGCATCTTGCCTGCGACCGCCGCCACGGCGGGGAGGTCTACGTGAGTCTCCATACGCGGTCGAGCCGTCGGCGACCTCAGTGGATGTGAATGACGGATCTTGTGGTTGTTGTGAGCCATCAGTATGAGACTGAACTCGTCCGACTCGGCCGTCGGAGAGCCGGACTTTGATGCCTCGAGGGTGGTTGCCGCGCGTGAGCACATCCTGGACGGTCCCGGAGACGGTGCGACCTGTGGGTTGGTCTGCTTTGAGTACGATGTTGACGCCTGCACCGCGGACGACGGTGGCTATTGTTGGAACGCGAGCCATCTCCAGGAAGATTTCTGCGAAAAAGAACAAGACTGTCGGTGGTAATGCCGTTGTGGTTTCGGCAAGGGGGTGTAAGTGGACAGTGTCGCGTCGCTGGTGATGATGGCCCTGTAGAAATTGTGAGTTTGCCGAATGACGCAACTAGCCAGGCGAGGGTTCTGTGGCGCGGGCGATCGCGGGAAATCCGCACTCGGCCCTGCTGAGCAGCGCATCATGAACGCGGAAATTTCCGGACTTTTCATGAATCCGGCCGGGTGGCGCAATGGCAGCGCGTTGCTTTCCGGTGGCAAAGGTTCTGGGTTCGAGTCCCAGCTCGGTCGACTTGTTTTGCCTTGACTATCCAGAGTTGATATTTTTGATTAACGATTGCTGATTGATGGTTTTCTGATGATTTCCGCAATTGATGGGGTGGTGGTCTGGGAACACTCTTGTTTCTTAAAGTTGGAACCTTGGAGAAGAGTTGAAAAGCTTAAAAGGGAAGTTGCCTTACTGTACCAAAGTACTTAGGTACCTACCCCAACTACCACCTTGATTTTACGCCGGCCCGGAGCACTGAGGACTACGCCCCATTGTGGGGCCGTAACGGCTATGCGGACTGTTCACACCGGGAGGAAGGTGCCTGATGGCTCTGAGAACTTCATTCCAAATTAGTACCTTACGGGCCGTACCTTCTTCTCACTTTTACTCATTTACTTTAGTAAGGTATCACAAGTATCTTAGGCAGCAGCTCAAGTTATCAGTACTAACTAAATCTTCTTTTTGCTAAAGGTCATCTTGATCTTTTACATCTGTTGGCACCTATTTGGCGCCTTCTCAGACACTTCAGCGCCTAGTACCTCACCTCTTTCCGACTTCAAACGACCGATTTGGAGTTTCATGATTACATGACCCTCTTACTCAATCTTTCGGTCATTTTCCGACAGCCTGCTTCAGCTATTCTCAAGGTTTTTACCTTACGCTCGGTATGTCCTCTGTCTTCACCATGGAAAATAGTGGAATCCCCTTTATTTCTAGGCCCGCCATCGTTCAGCGTGCTAATTCTATGTTCCGCACATCTCTTAAGGCCTCCCAAATTCGATACACTTTATCAGAGGAAAATCTTTCTTGCCCAGGAACGAAAACCGACTTACAACCTTGTCATTGACTTGTTTCCCTGCATCGCTTCATAGGCCGTCACTGATTTCACCATGGCTGCCTCTGACCAACATACTGTCGGGGAGGTCTGCTACAGCCCTGGGCTCAATGTTTTCAACGACGGTCTCAACTACGCCGATTCTCCCCCGCGAAGCATGGTTATTCAAGTGTCCGTGTTTCATAATCAACATGCAGCACGGTGTAAAACCTTGTCGGGCATGCAATGGCTCAACCTCGAGGACAGCTGGAAATTGCCAAGCCCCAATGAAGTGTATACTGGAGGTCACCAAGACCACCTTAGTGGTCTTTGGATCGGGTGGTTTCTCCCCGATTTCCAGATCATTGACAACTATCATACAAATAGGTTCTGTCGTTGGCCTTCTTTACCCCGGGGACAGTGCGTGAGTAACCATACGCCATACCGATACCACCATCATCCCTTCATCAGAAAGGCCTTCAAAGTTATCTACAAACCAGGTCGGGAGGGGGACACCAAATTCTTTGCCCTGTGTACCCCGGATGCCAATGGCATCTGTCAGGCCAAGATCGTCCCAGATGGTGCACGGAACATATTCTTTTTCAAGGAGTGGAGAGACGACACCCTTTGCGGTAGCTGGGCTCGACAGAGTGTGTGGACGACGAATGCCAAGGTCGGAGCATCGAGGATCTATTCAGCGATGAACGCTGCTATTAATCTACCAGCACATGAACAGGAACATACCTCTGGGTCCGAGAATGAAGGTTGTCTCGAGGAAATCGAAGAAGAAGAAGCAGAAGAACAAGAAGATGATGAAGAGGAAGAAAATGAAGAATCCGAGTATGCGGAGCCCGAGAGTGGAGTATCAGGATCTGAAAAAGAAAAGTCCGAAGGAGACTTTGAACAAGAAGGACTACTGGAATCCCTACGTCCTAGTCCGCCAGATTTCGCCTCGTCCTCAGAGTCAGAATCGGACTCTTCCGACGAGGATGAATATCACTCGAATGGTTACTCGAGTCGCAGAGAGTCTCAGCCCACACCGAAACACGACATCAAGTCGAATAACTTAGCAAGCATTACCTCTAAGCCTCGCTCCTACCAACCGCGCCAGCCCGCGTCAAGCCGTCAATCAACCTATGTCAATCATAACCTGTTGTCTCGGCGCAACATGAACCCCCCTGCAACTGCAGACGCCCCCGTGGGCAATGTCGCTACAAATCTCAAGAGGAGCCAGAGTCCTATGCTGAGCCTGAGCTCAAAGAGCAAGAGGAAGAGACGCATCAATCTGCAAGTCGAGTCTCCTCCTGACTCAGCCCGAGAACGACATGCACCCTCGGGACTTACCGAGCCGCCCGCTAGTCGACCGGAGAGAGCTCAGTCTGCTAGCAGAACACTCATCAAGAACGAAGCTACTCAAGAGAGCGATGATGAGATTCAGTTCATCAAGGAGGTCCCAACAAAGAGACCCCAACAGATGGCTGATGCATTCGAAGCAACTACTGTGGCTTCATCCGAGACAAGCATCACCTACATCAGCAAGTTTGTTGCAGCGGGAAAACTTCTCCAGCTAGCGCGTCTTCCCGATACTTTCTCCCGAAATATCATGCTTGAATCCTTCAGCAAGCATCTGAAGTCGACGAACTTGGCACAATTCGATGCTCTGGTCAAGAACATCGTGGATTCTGCGGAAGAAAGCGTCCGCGTCATGATCGCTGAGACTCTAGAAGAGCAACTGAAGGGCCGATTGCCTGTCATCAGTGGTGCTTAGGAAGTAGGTGCGTCATCTCCTTTAGTATCATGGGACAGCAATGACTGATTGGGTTCTGCTAGATCTATCATCGACATTTTCTTGATGAAGAACATGATTCAAGACACGAAGGACGGTCGAGTGTCCCAAGGCCAGGATCACCAAGATGAAATGCCCATCACTGCTGGGCTCTGGCGTGGCTTTGACCAGCAATCTGGCACTGGGAAAGGATGTTGACTGACACGTGGGGTTCAATTTGCGCACGTCACGATAGAGGGCTGGCCAGCCGTTGATCATGAGTTCGAGAGAATTGAGAAATTTCATTGCCGTTTATGTCGAAACTTCAGTCCGGCATACTGTTTCCTGGCTTTGAACAGTAAATATGCCAACGTGAAACTAATCTTGGATGGACGTCTGGAACATTCGACGTTTGCACAAGTCGAAGCAGCAAGAAAGCTCTTGCAGAAATTCAAGTGGTCCTTTCCGGTCATAAAGCGACGACTTTACATTAGTTGGCCTGCTCACTTTTTCTTACCTTAGTCTCACCAGCTTCATTCTTGTCCCCCATATCTACATGATAAACCGGAAGCTAACTTTGTGACGGGCCGGGAACGGGAGCTATCTTTGCCTACAACATCTACAAACTTCTCAACCTTCCCTTGCTGAAGGAAAGCGCTGTGGACTTGACTTCCTTCCAAGATGGTTTCTGAGGCATCTACGGAGTTTTTTTCTCTCTCTTTCCTTCTATACCCCTTGCAGCTTGTTACCTACACACTCTTTTATCCTCTGCAGGCCGCATTCTTCTCTCTAACCTCACTCGACTGAGAATCAAGTCCTATTTCCTCCTCTGAAGAGGCGACCAGAAGCTTCAAGAATGGCAAAAAGCAGTGGAAAGGCTCCCGAGGCGGCCGACAAATACGCCAATACCCCTCCAGCATATCTCATTCCTAACTTCCAGCAAGAATGGTCAGACTTGGCAGCCAAGGTCTTCAACATCGACGTTCTGGACATACTCTTGACGTCTGAAGAGAAAAGCAAAGCCTTAGCACTGATCGCCATCCCCATCACTAGTTCGTCCTTTGGGAACAAGAGCAGAGCGCAGGCCCTCCACAGAACGGTCAGCCAAGCGCGGGAGATGGGCCAGAGCAAGCGTCCCCCATGCAGAGTCACAATCATTGCAGCTCTCCTCATCTACATGCTGGAGCCTCCGCTGACGTGGTGGGAATGGACAAACATGCATCAACCACTTGGCATTCTGCGATATGTCCGGGACTGTGCTGATGGCCTCAGCATTTACTCGTCGGAGGGTATGTTGAAAGCAGCGTTGGCGCATTCTCCGGGAGGTCCAACCGGAGACCACCCGGACAACCTTTTCGTTGTCGACAAGCCTCAGTTGGAGGAAACCAGCGTCAAGCCTGCTGAAGCGACTCCGCTCAACTCAGACCATCCAACTTTGGCGGCTTTGAGACCTTGGACACGCTCCATTACCAAGCTCACGACGCCTTCGCCACCAAGCAAGAAGCGGAAGGTGGAATCCGACTTCCCTCCAGGGAAAAAAGATGTCCAGAAGAAGGAGATGTCTAGCCCTAAGAAGATCAAGTTGACAGTACCCAAGAAGAAAGTCGTCAGTCCGAAGAAGAAGTCGGCCACTCCGAAGAAGGTGATGGCTGAATCGGGAACCAAACCCACTCCACAAGCCAAGTACCCAAAGGTCAGTTCAAGGATGCCATCCAGAGGTGCCACATGGATAGCTAATCTTTCTCCTACTCAACAGACCCGAGATCCTGAAGCAGTGAAGCGACAGCAGCCGATCGACAACGCCTTGTTGGCTCGATACATGAAGAGCGCCCCCATGCTTGACAGAATTGCAGATTACAATGACGGATCCGTCCGTCGAGTTGCTCTTGCCAGTTTTCTCGAAGACTTGAAGAGCTCCGGCTGGGAAGATCTAGAGAAATGTACCTGGCAGCTCATCAAGGATGACGACTATGAGTCTCGCGCGTTTCTCGCAGAGGCGATCATGAACGACGTCTATAAGCGAATCAATGACTCTGTTGAGGGTATCCCGCAGCCCGCACAGCTCACAGAGCCCGCGCGTCCCGAACACGTCACACATCAACCCGTGCAACAGCCCACGGAGGCCAAGCAGACTGCACAACCCAGTCTGGATGAGCAACCTATGGATACACCAACGAAGCGGAGAAGCCGGTCCAGGCCCAAGCAGGGTAAGAAGTCCACTCAGACCAAGAAGCGTACTCCAGAGACAAAGAAGCCCGCAACGAACACGTCGGATGAGCACAACACACCTACGAAGCAGGCAAGCCGACCTTTCAGATTCTCTCCCAGCAGTGGTATGTCTGATGACGTTTTCAACGATTCTCCTCTATCTGCCGCGTCACCAGCGGCGGGTCGACGGCACCTGAATCTGGCTTCTCCGCCGCGCTTCAACATTCGAGGAATATTGTCTAAACGACTGAAGTCGAAGGATAGCCCGATTTGAGCGACATCTTTGAGTCCAGTCTTCGAGAACTGGCAACATTCTGCATTGCTTACTTGCATTTCGAGCCCTGGCTATTGAGGAGGCTTTATAATGCACCTGGATTACATGGCTGAAAATGGCTACGAGAGAGAGAGGCTCTTGAGTTGATTGGAGTGAGGATACTGGCATGAAAGAACGTGATATGGCTAACGAGTGGATGCTTTGAGAAGAAGGAGACTGCTGGTAGTGTGGGGATCATCATGTCACCATGTCGCCGTGTTGCTTTAGCTAGCTTGATGTAAGATGAATAACGACTGAATCAAGAACCATAGTGAGTTGGGCCTTCAATTGTAACTGAGTTCGAAATCACGTCTGAGGACGCTGCCAGAGGTCAGACTGTTGGTACGGAAGTCGAGAGTGAACGGTCTCAACAAGAAAGCTACGAGTTCTACTTTTCCGTTGGTGACAGATGAGTTGAATGATTTGTGCGTTTGGCAGCAGATCCCGCAATATTCCAGAGTGGCATCCTGAAAATATCTCCCTCGATCGAAGTTATGTTTCTCTTGCATGTGAGCTGAGCCTATCATGAAGACGTTGCTTTGCTGATGTAATCAATCACAGCAATTTGTTTTGGCTTGCTCTTCATTGGCCATTTTTGGACGACATGTGGGGACTGAGTGCCTGAAAGTCACTGGACTTCGCGACACCCGTCGCCACTTTCCTGACGCGCTCTCCCATTTAGCGGCGATCCCTCCCACCGAGTCGTGACGCCGTCAATGAGGGTCGTCTCCCCCCTCGCAAACCCGACATGACGCCCGCCTCCCTTTGCAATGTCTTCCTCCTTTTCGCTTGATTCAGACGACGAATATGGCTATGATCTTTCTTTGGAGGACGAGACGTTGCTGAGCCAGCTCATCACCGACAACCCCGCCCCCACCTCTACCTCATCGCGGAACCCCGCCGCTCCCTCGATCGCTTCAGATTTGGGCATTGACACCGTGGCTGAGGAAGAATTTCGCCTTGACGATGCTCCCGCGGATCTTCTCTCCTATCGCACGACTGGCACAGCCAAGGGTCCTGCACGATCTAGCCCGAGTCGCTCAGAGGCGACCTTTGCCGACGATACGAAGCAGGCAGATCTTTCCCCGACGTCACCTGGCCACGCCGTCGCCTACCCGGATTGTGAGTGTTTCTTTGCGAGGCAGAAATCCACTGGAACTGACTGACGTGAAAGCGCTTAGTGAGCAGAGCCCTTTCGAATAACAATGCGGCCCCATCATCACCCAAACCGAACGAGAAAGCCACCCCTGATCCTGAGAATGATACCCGATCGCCGCTTGTGCGATTCCGATCGTATCCCCGGAAGCCATTTACCGTCACCGACTTGACCTCGGGCGCTTGGTGCGAACTACAATACTTCTATACCCTCACCCGCCTACCATATGGTCGGAAGACCCGGACAGCAGCGATGAAGCAGGGGACAAAGGTACACCAGGACCTTGAAGACGAAGTACACACGACGGTCCGCGTCGAGATCTCAAGTAAAGAAGACGGGTTTGGTCTCCGGATGTGGAATCTTGTCCAGGGACTCCGAACACTCCGTGAGACTGGTATGACCCGTGAGCTTGAAGTATGGGGATTCGCCGACGGCAATCTGGTCAATGGCGTCATCGACGGTCTGAGCTACGAGAATCCGGATCCGGAGTTCATGGAGCAGCTGAGCCAGGACTCTGAGCAAAACCAGTCCAGCATAACCGATTACTTCCCTTCGAAGAAGCAGGCGAACACACCTCAGATATACCTGACGGATGTGAAGACGCGTGGGTCTATGAAGGCGCCCAACAGCCCCGCGTTACTGCGGCCGGCAAAGGTGCAGCTCTTCCTGTACCAGCGTTTCCTGTCAGAAATGGCAGCGGATAAGCTGGACTACCTTCGTATTTTCCGGCGGTACGGTCTGGATCCGGACGAGCCGTTCTCCGATTCATTTATTGCCCAGATTGGTAGCCTGCACGACGAATTGTTCTTCGACATGGATTCCTCCCCTGACGGGGACTACATCCCGCCGTCTCCCATTACAGCAACGGTCGATGCCGAAGCTGGTGAGGCAAACAGCAATTCGTCGGCGCCGGACTTCATCAAGTACAGAACACTGAGGGAATTGCTCCCTCTTCTCGTATCAGAGTTGCGCCAAACCTTCCCCCATGGCGCCGACTCCGTGGGTCGGCTTCTCGCTGTGGAGTACAGGTACCGCGGAGACGGTTCGCTTATTGATAGCCAGGTCTTCCCCATGGATGATCGGGCGCTGAACCTCTACTTGGGTAATACGATGGAGTGGTGGCGAGCGGACCGACAACCGCGGGGTGTGCAGATTGAGGAGGCGTACAAGTGTCGAATGTGTGAATTTGTGGGCGACTGCACATGGCGGTCTGCCATGGATGAGGAGAGACTGCAGAGTACTAGGCAGCGTTTGGCAGGCAGGAGTAAGCATCTTACAAGTGGCTGATATTGCGATATTGCTTCTTTTTTGCGGTTGAGATGGCATTTATTTCTTTGCGAGGCGCATTGTTCGGCTGGGGCCTACATTACACCGGATTCAAGAGTTAGGATAGCTTATGAATATGAGTCGACGATCTACATGTCATGGCAACTTGTGTCTTGTGCTTCTCTGAAGGATGGTCCGCAACACTGGTCTACTTTCGACCTAGCCTTGCGACTTTCTCAATAGAATCCTACTGATCCTTTTCCAATAAATGCGAGGAAACTGAGACCCAGGCTGCCGCCTTCCCGAAGCCTTCAGTTAGTAAATCGGTGAATGTCTGGGGGATGTTTGGAATCAATTCACTTTTCAGTACCTGAGGCCCATCCTCGCGCCAGACCTCCTTCCTCAAACAGTGGACTTCAAGAGAAGGCAAGACCACTAGTGCCTTCCTCCTTCTTCGGCACCGCGAGGCTTGACCTTCGTCAACAATTTCCTCCCACACATCAGTCTTTCAGGCAGGCTTCCGAGTCTCGGCGAGCGGTCTCCTGATATCCTCTTGACTCTGTCAGTCACTCCCTTCCGCATCAATACTTCCCAAATCCACCCCCATAACACCATCACGATGGGCGCCAAGGAGGAAAAAGACCCCAAGATCCTGGAGCTCGTGAGCTCCATCAAGAACAAGCTGTCTTGCGAGAACTATGAGCGCATGGTCTCGGGCATGATGTACGACCCTCTCGACCCTATCCTCAACCAAGGCCGCCACCGAGCCCGCTGCCTCGCACGCGACTTCAACGAGATCGATCCCCGCCAGACCACCCTCCAGGAGGTGGGCAAGAAGAAGAAGGCGATTCTGCAGCAGCTCCTGGGCAAATTTGGCGAGCAGTCATTCATCGAGGCTCCTTTGTCTGTCGACTACGGCTGCAACATCATCTTTGGCTCCAAGTCCTTTGCCAACTTCAAGTATGTCTTACCCACCTGACCGCATGAATGCTATGAAGAAAAAGAGTGTGTTCTAACGAATATGTGCAGCCTGACCATTCTCGACGTCAGCCTCGTCACCATTGGCGACCGTGTTCAAATCGGTCCTAATGTCAGCATCTACAGCGCAGCTCACGACACGAGCATTCTTTCCCGATTGAAGTGCGAGGAATATGGTCTACCGGTGACCATTGAAGACGATTGCTGGATTGGTGGCGGTACAATCATCCTGGCTGGCGTGACCATTGGATCGGGCACGACTGTTGGTGCCGGCTCAATCGTGACAAAGAGCCTGCCGCCTCATTCGGTGGCGGTGGGCAATCCTGCCAGGGTCATCAAGAATGTGCAAACACTGGAAGAGGAGATGGCGACTGCGAACAAAAGCATCAAAGAGTAAATCGACCAGGAGGTTGGAGGCAGGAATAGGCACTATTAGGCCCCTGAGGGTAACACTAGAGACCTTTGCCGCCTGGATTGGTATCGACCGATTTTAAACGGTGCTGTGACACAAAATACTCATGAGCACCTAAACAATTCAACCTTCCAGCATTTAGAAATCCCCATTCGTGAATGAACTTGTTCACTCAATATGGTATACGTCCTTTGCGTGCCTATTGAAGGGTGCTGCTTGATCTGATGTTAGCTACAAGTACTCAACAGGTAGTGATTAGTACTATTGCTGGACATGGCTCAGAGTAGTATTGGTACACTCATTTCCTATAAGAAAAGGCCTCTCCTCATCTCTTCTTACATGCAGAAAGCTGTCTTCCCATCCATCAGCACATTTCCAGGCCTGCGCTTCCAAAAGAGTTCCCTCGACCATTCAGCCGATTTATTTTCCGACCTTCTCTACAACATTCAACCATGTCTGATACCTCTAGTGAAACAAGACATTGGGTAGCAAAGGAAAACGAAAGCATTGATGCCTACGTTGAGAAGATTACGAAGAAGAAAGTCGAGAGCAAACATCTTGCCAATTTGCAAGGCGACGATCGCAGGAACTTGTTCCGTCACAAATGTGTGACCGCACGGAATCTTGGCCGAATTTGCCAGCTATCCGCAAGCACCAATTACTCTTCATTTCTCACACGATTTGACAAAGGAGAAGTGACCTGGAGACAAGTTTGGGACTTCATCGTTCAGGTGGAAGGGATCGCCTTCATTCAAGCTAACCTCTTCCACCACGCCATGGTACTTATCGAACGCATTAATGACTTGATTGTAAGGGAGGAGAAAGAGGATGATACGGAAAACGATCCTGATAAGAAGAAAGAGTACGACGCCCTTGCATTCAAGGTGATTCAACATTTGTTCCTGGAATGGGCAGACACCGCCGAATTAGATGACATTAAGCGCCAAGCAGCCGCCGTTGCTATTCCAGTACCACCCTACAATAACCTTGCTCAGGCAAAACGAGACTTGGACATGCACCAACAACTCCGCCAAAATGCATTCGCCGCAGCTGAAGGGACTAGGAAGAAGTGGAAGGAGTTGGACAACGCTCTCAAGAAGGAGAAGCAGAAGGAAGACATGGAATCAGAGAGTCAAGGATCCGCCTGAGTCCAGTGCTTCTGGCTGACGCCTTCAAAGCGGCTGCTATCCATCTCCATCATGTTGCCATGGATTTCACTCACATCGTCATCTGTAAATCCCCCTCACACTCTTTTAAGTCACATCAATTTACTTCACCAGATTCTATTTCCGGGTGCTTATCCTGGTGTTTTTCGGTTGGTTTTGTCTACCTCGCGTAGGTAGTTAGCTAAGGCGAAGATACTTGAATTTAACAGAGGTAACTGGAAATTTCCATTGCCACTCTTGCGCACTAAGTCTTGATTTCTATTTGATTCTTACTACATCGTTTGAAGAAGCATGATGTGGATATTATTCCATATATTTACTTTCGTTTATGATTATTATCGACGCGATTTTGTAAATCTGGTTTTGTAAATATTCGGAGCATTGCCATGCGATAGACCCAAATAGTTCCGTCTTCATAGGACAGTCAGTATCCCGCAGGATAATCTGAAGAGCCGTCTAGAAGCGTACTGAAAACGGTTAAGCAGGTTGGGCAAATGATGGCACTGGCTCAGACAAACAGGGTTCACGACTTAGTACCGAGAAGCAGCTAATACATAAGTAACCAGAAAGAAGGCACCGTTTTTGTTTATCGACGAGTATGACTAATGAATGGATGTGAATAGACATGTCGTGTCAATGAAACGGGTGTCCGATCCCCTTGACCAAGGGTATTTTCATGGTTTCTGCCCATTCTCTCGCTTTAGCCTCAATCAGGCTCTGGAGATGCGACGCCTCGCACAGAGTCCGAAGCCCACAAACAACATTAAGAACTAGTTCTGGTTCCAAACCCCGGTTCCAGACACCCGAGACGCGGGACTAATTGGTAGTTCGAGGTTGCCAGTGATCTTAGGGCCATCGACAACTTCGAGAGTGACGGATTGAGTTCCGATCTTGCCATCAAAATCGCGATTGCTGGTCAAACTCCCGAGCGACTCATATTCCAGCGTCGCTGAATTGGATACAAATTCTTGAACGGCCGGGCTGAAGCTTCCACTGAAGTGGTACTGGATATCATCGATGATGAATGTCGAAGTGAACTTGTTCCCTCCGGCAATGCCCTTGATAAATCCTCGCGCAGAAGGCATCTGCAGATGCCATGTTAGTGTTGGCCTCTCTCATTAGGGATGTAAGCCATTTACCTTCGCGTTTGTGAATGAGTGCTGAAGGTGTGGATATCTTGAAAGACAGTGCAGTTCTGGGATGGTGGGGGTGTGAGATGAGTGGATATTTTTGAGATAGTATCAATGTTCAAATATCCCTTCTTTATAGTTTTTCTACAATCTCGATATGTTGACCAACCTGACCTGATTGACCTGGATTACGACATGAGACAATACTCGAGACTTGAGAGTACCATCCCTTGTGCGTGCTGCTCAAGCAAGCAGCATTGTCCGACTTGGATCGTAGGGACGCCGATCAACCGCCAGTACTAGCTCGCATCTGGTCACATCTTTCATTACACATTCGTGTGTAGGCAAAAGAGCCAAAGCTGAGCTGAAACAGATCAGCCCGCATTACTAAACGTCGTAAATGACACCAATCAAGTGCAGCATCCAATTCTACGCGCTTGGGATTACCAACGCTGTCTGTTCGCCATAATGGCTGTTGATATATCAACTTCAACTGATTTTTCCGTGGCATTGCATCTTAGTCTGTCTCGTGCATGCAGATGAGAAGTATGGCTTCAAAATACCTTTCACCGCCGTTGACGCCTCGCATGATGAGTACGGGCTGCCATTGTGGAAGCTACAGGAAAGACTAACCCTATACAGTCACTTTCGGCGAACAAGGAGACAGTCCAGAGAACGGCGATACTGTTTGTCTCTCAATCGATAACTACTAGCTTCATAGCAGCGTCGAAATCAGCCAATGATTCGTCTGAGACTCTCCAGCAAGGACTGAGGACGACACCACTATGGTGACAGTCAGAAACCTGGTCATGCTCACCATGTCTTGCTACGATATGGTTTTCGCCTTCATCGCGCCAGCTATGGTGGCTCAAGTGTGTAGTGTGGCCCATGAGAAGCAGTCGAATACCGTCGCGCATGGCACCATGCTAACGGCAGTCCAGTCTTAGTGACTGGTGAGGTTTCATGCTTGAAACTCCTCTCATCCTGTAGCCAATATCACAGATATAATTGTGACATGGACGCAATCGTTTGCTGTTACAGATCTGGTGCATTAGTCGCCACTCCATGGGCGAATGGCGCCATCGCAATGTCGTGCAGTCTGAGGCGCCAGGCATCTCTTGGAATTGCCACCCTAGATGTGAGTAGTGTCTCAGCTATAATGATACTAGATAGAGTGTCGGTGTGTAAAATTTTGTGCCGGATAAGCTGATCACCTCGTGCCCAAGACATGTCACATTCGAAGTGGCTTTTGCTTGCTTGGTAATTACGGGTTCGTTGTAGTCACACTGGAAGATGCGGCTTAAATCAACAGTCACGTTCTGATCAGTTGCAGAGTATCGGCTGCCCCGAGAGAATTCCTCAACTAGGACCTCCAGGATTGCGTCACAAGTACGACGGTCTTCTACTTACCCTAGAAAGAAACTATGCGCCGGGCGGTTGTCTCTTGAGAGTTGCATGTTAATTTACCGACCTACAAAGTCACTGGCAATATTGGTTGCAAGAGCTTCATTGGCGTGTCTATTTGGAGATGAACGATTGACTCATTGCAGTCAGACCGAGTTTGGCGGCCTAAAAAGGGGATTAGTTTTGAGATTTCAGAAAGTTTTGCGGCCGCTATTATGCACTGGTTCCGGATATCGAATTCTCTTATTGGACTCGATGTTTGTATTACCCATGAAACCCCCCCCCCCCCCATCCCCAATGCTCCCTTGCAAAATGTGTCTCTCAGGTAATTGAGGTAGTGCTAATTCACACGACATATCACACGCACTCACTCACTTTCTGACCAGAATGACTCTCCGGGTTTGCTCGATGCACAATTGTCTATCCCGTTGCCATCGAAACATTCGTGATGGAGATGTTTGGTTACATCGGATGGAAAGAGGTATAAGGGACTTTTTGTGACGCAGGCCGGGAGTGCCGTTGGTGCTTGGTGGCAAGAATGTTTTTGTCATTAGGGCGGATACAGAGTCATAGCGTCGTCGACGAGGCCGTGGAAGACTATCACCGCGATCGCTAGAGAAGGGTTGAAAATGCGAATGTGGCATGGTCTGTTAATCGACTTTGCGAAAGAAATTTTGATTGTCGAACTATGGGCGTCGCATGATGTTTGCGTCGGGTGGGGTAAGCTACAACGTCTGTTTTGGGAGCTGGGGCTGACGGGTCACCAACAGCAGATAAAGACATGCGGCGACAGCACATAAGCCCGGTAAGGATAGGAACTCGTTACGGAGAATCACAAATTGTTTGCTCTTTTGCCAAGGTCAGTCAATGAGTGGAAGCCGCTAAGCAATCCGTGTGATCCGACCAATTGGCAGTGGCTATGTTCTAACCAACTGAGCTTTGCTCTCATGATATGCTCTTTGGGGATATTGCTCCTTGCCAACGACAGGGCCCAGAGCGATTTTGCCCCGCAGCTGTGCCGCAACGATTGCTAAGCGAGACAGGCCGATGGGATTGACAAGGTTGTATTTAGAGAGGCCACGTTCCACATGATCGGGAGCGATCCAGTGAGGGGTTGTTTGCCTTCTTGACTTTGGAAACATCACCTTTCACTAAAGCATTGCCTAGTGCTATCTCGATCTCAAGTCGGTCTTGAGTCAGGACTTAATAGGACCGCCAAAAACCACCGGAATCTAGTGTACTGTGTCTATTCAAAGCCGAGATCATGCAGGAGCCTCAGAATGTAAGAAGAGCATAGACAGGATGATTATTTGTGGATCCCTGGGTTGTATGCTGACGAGATTTTGAATGAGTAGCCAGCCACGCCAGCGGATGACCCGACGTCGGAATATGGAGATGACGTGAGTCTCATCGTTGCATTGCATTAGCAGTGACACATGAAATAACAACTGCCTGACACCCTGACAGCATTCCGAGCATTCGTCGCTAGCCTCTCTGAGGTCGAGTATCCTCGAGCATCAAGCTGAGAATGGACGGACGTATCATTCCATGAGCTCGGGAAGTATGTGCCCCCATCATTTAAGCTATGCGAAAGCATATTCTAATGTTTTGAGCAGAGTATAGCTTCCCCAATGACGAGGTGAGCAACACACTGATCCTGTGTCTGATGCTATTCTAACGCAAATTTGGCTGAAGCCTGAAAATGACCGTCTCGGTGAGCGACTGCTTCGTCTTTGTGGCCTTGACACAAGATTCCCGCGAGTTTCTAATTGACCTTAGATTTGCAACATCGAATCTGGCTGCTACAGCTCGAGGAACAATTAGCCCTATGTCCTGCGCACAGAACCGCAAAACGGGTGCTGGATATGGGAACCGGAACCGGGATCTGGGCCATCGATTTTGGTTCGTCATGCTCAATCAGGGAATCACAGTTTCGTGGCACTGACACGTCGCTTTAGCGGACAAATTTCTACATGCAGAGGTTGGGGAAATAGTTTCCGAGTCAACTGAAAGATGCAGTCTGACATTGAATAGGTCATTGGTGTTGACTTGAGCCCCATTCAACCTGAGTGGTACGCCGACGTTCTTCAAATCAGCACCGTTAGCAATTTACTTATCATTGGTTTAGGGCACCCCCGAACTGTGTGTTTGAGGTCGATGACTTAGAAAAGCCATGGACCTGGACCGAGCCCTTTGACTTCATCTACTGCAGAAGTATGGACGGCGCATTCGCGAACAAGGAAAGGATGATTAGGAAGATTTACAAGTAAGACAACCCTCCTTACCCCATGCACTGGTTCTTGTGCTTTTGCTCAATATCACGCCTCTCTCACGTAGTGGCTTGACTCCGGGAGGTCATCTTGAAGTCGCGGGACTCGAATTACCGCCTGGTTGCGATGATGATTCGGTTCCCAAGGACTCTGACTTGTGGAAGTGGCACGAGCTGCTACAAGAAGCCGCGACAAAGATCGGACGGCCGCTGGAGAGTCTGGCCCACAACAAGGCGGACCTAGAGGACGCTGGCTTTATCAACATTGTCCGTAAAGACTACAAGCTACCTCTCAACACCTGGCCTGCGGATCCCCATCTGAAAAATCTCGGAAAGTGGCAATTTGTCAACCTTAATCTCGGTCTCGAGGGGCTGTCCCTTGCTCTTCTCACCCGTGTTTTGGAATGGTCCAGGGAAGAGGTTCTTGCCCTATGTGCGGGCGTTCGGAGAGATCTGAAGGACAAGAGGATGCACGCTTATTGGAAAATGTAAGTTCACGCCTCGCTTTCCGCTGTGGGCTTTTTAGGCTGACATTTTCAGTCACGTTGTCTATGCGCAAAAGCCCGAGGATGCTTCTGATTCTGAGCAGTCGCAGGAGTGATGGGAGATGGAATTCATTCAGAATATCATATGAAATCTAAGTCGTTTATGCAAGGAGCTGGGTTGAGTGCGGCGTAATGTTTTGAGCTACTGAAGAGGTGAAGTACACATTGATTCGACCAGACCTCAACTAAAGAGTGCATGAGAAGACACCAGACTTGGAGTAATTCCGCGACAGCTCTATGATCCCAGTCGATCAAAGAAGTGTCGTCAAAATTAGGTAAATGCTACATCCCACCGGTCCCCGGTAGCCGGGCAATAGAGAGGGCCACACCCGTCCCCGGACAACGGCCTTGTTGGTGAATCGGCGCGGTGTGCGGCAGGGCCGATACCCACATCCCGGCAGTGGCCGGACGTGTGGAGGCACTATCCGTAGGGTAAACCTAAAGCGGGCTTGGCAACCTTTACCTTAAGCTAAGCCTCGGGTTCGGGTTAGTCGGTGTTACGACAGGGATAAGGAGGCCGTCTCCCGTCCCCGCAAAGCTCTCTATCTGATCCCAACCCATTCCCGAACTTCCCCTTTTGCACACGAACACTTACGCGTCTCACTGGCTGAAGGGGGCTCGCATTAGCCCCATAAGAGAGAGAGATCTTTTTGCCTCTCTCCCCCATCGTGACTGGGGCCGCACAAGATTTTCTAACTGTTTCCACATATCCAGCCAGCCAGCCAGCCCAGCCAAGCCTAGGCCAAGCGCCCCCCAAACAACATTTCGTCTCTAATCCATTTACCTTTACCTTTTACTCCGTATCCCCGTCTCTATCCGTACCTTATTCTTTCTCCTCGCTCTGGCCCCGTTCTGACTGATTTCTTGTTCATCTGAGCTCAACTAGTGCCAAGGTACCCGCGTATTGCCAACCAAACACACACACGCACACACACGTTCTCACAGGCTCACACAAACATACCCTCGTCTGCTGTCATCGTTTGATTGTCGGTGAGACAGCGACGCTATTAAAACATACCTTCGGACTTTGCCCCACTTTGTCAAAGGAAAACAATCAACGGGAACGGCAGATAACTACGGGATAATCGAACGCTGGAGCTCATCGCCGTCTCGCATACTATTACCACGACATGCCGCCCCGGAAGGGTAGTCCCAAGGTGAAGACGGGATGCCGGACATGCAAGTGGGTTTTGCCTTTTCCCCTCAGTGGCTTGCTGGAATCAGATCCTTCCGAACCTTTATCTTTCATTATCCCTCAAATGGCGAAAAAGGAAAAACTCTTGCTTAGGAGGCCTTGGCTGACTCTGGTATGTTAACCGACTAGGGCTCGAAAGGTCAAGTGCGACGAGACCAAGCCCAAATGCATGCGATGCACATCGAGCGGCCGGCAGTGCGCCGGCTACGAGCCGACGCTCGAACACGGCCTATCATGGTATCGGCCTCAGCAGCTGACCGCTCACGACCAGCGTGAGGGCAGAGCCTTCCAGTTCTTTTCTCACATGGTCGGGCCTGTCTTGTCGGGTCCGATGGACACGTACTTTTGGACGCACCTGGTTGTACAATTCAGCCACTTTGAGCCCGCCGTGCGTCATGCCGTCTTGGCCATCAGCTCCCTGTACGAGGATTTCCACGACGGCGCCCGCGTCACAAGACAGAAGCCCGGCAATGACTTTGCGTTGAGTCACTACAGCGCGGCCATCCAGAGAATCAAATCTGCGCAGGACGAGCAGCTGGTGTTGCTGGTGTGTATCCTCTTCATCTGCATCGAGTACCTCCAGGGCGATGTCGAGGCCGCTCTGCGGCACTGCAAGCACGGCATCATGATTCTCAACCGAGTGGGCTGCTCTTCGTGGGCACATGACTATCTTATGCCGATATTTAGGCGATTGAGCTTTGCCTCCTTCTTCTTGGGCATAAAACCGTCCGCGGACGCTGCGGTGCCGGGTCTGTTGGGATTCGAAGTTCCGATACCAGACAAGATCGAGAGTTTGGGGGAAGCACAGAGCGCGATCGACGACTTGATGATCCACGCCATTCGATTTGTATCTGGCGAACCAACAGCCTTCGATCGCCAGGATCTCGAGACGCGGTTAGGCCAGTTCCACGAAAAGCTCACCGAGTTTGACGACTCATTACCACAGACAGAATCGGCGGCAAAGGTCGCGATTTGCAGCATGTTGATGAGATTTGAGATGGCCAAGATACAGATAGATACGATTGGTGGCAAGACGGAAACGAGATTCGACAAGCATGTCGAGGGTTTCCGCAGAACGATAGAGCTGGCAAGGCGAGCCTCGTATCTGAGGAAGACGTATCCCGACGACCGTCCACACGCCAGCTTCACATTCGAGAGCGGTTTCCTATCACCAATGTCCTTCGTATCCAACAAATGTCGAGACCTGAAACTGAGGCTGGAAGCGTTGGAGTTCATGGTTGAGCTCGCCGCGCCGAAAGAAGGGTTTACGGATGTTGGCACCTTATACAGGATAGGCCGGCGAAGCATCGAGGTCGAACATGGGATATCGTTGATCGACGGAACAATTGAAAAGGATCCAGGTGCGCTTGCGAAGTTCTCCTTTCCACCTGAGGAGAACAGGATGTTTGCCGCACCAATAGATCACGAGCTTTACGTGATTAAGAACGAAGACGGAACAACGACGTACCGGAGAAATGTGTCGTTTTTGAGTAGGAACGCTGAGGGAACGGTCAGCTCCAGACAGGAGTACATCACGGATCAGATATCGGGAATGGTATCGCAAAATGTACCATGTATGAGGTGTGCAAAGTCTATGTAGCACTACAACGATAACGAATGAGATTCCCCTTTGCCCTTCTTGGCAAGTCTGCATTTACTGGCCCAAAGGGATAAACAAGAACAAGGAACTTTTAGACTTGCATGCGTGTCCCGCGTTGGATCTGAGTAGCATCCACCTTCGGCATCCCACATGCCCCCCGGACAGCTCCATAGCCAGATCTGAGTTTATTTGACAGCGTCTCCATATGCTAAGATCGGTCAACGATCCACCAGAAACGTGTTTGTGAAGTTGATTCTAGGTTTTGGGTAGTTTTCGGGGTTCGCCTAAGGAAATCCCCAGATTCTATGCTTGTGTTTGTGAGCATGAGTAGCGTACGAATCAACTTACGCGTGAAACACGCCGAGATTTCGGCCGAGCCAAAACTGCATCGCTCGGAGATCAGGCTTGCGTGGGCTTCGCCCTCCTGATGATGAATCAAAGAATCGAAAGGATACCACCTCCCCTTTAGAAACATCCATGATCACCCTCGTGAGACCTTCTAGCTTCAGCAATGTCATCGTCCTCCATGGCCTAGCTGCCGAGAGGCTGGTGTCGTACCTCCAGTCCCAAAGTGGCGATGGGGGTGATCCGAACGCCGCTAGAGCGGCACTTGCGCCGTGCCACACGTTCACCCTCCTCCACGCCTCCGGTCTTGCTCCACTGTGGGGCAAGACCGAGAGGAATAAAAGCCGGGCGATCGCCGGCTCGCTTTTGCTCCACGGCACTCCGGCCTTCGCCTCCCTACCAGAGCGGCCTTTTTCTCTTTTTGCACGAGTCCAACGTCGTACTGCGGTTTCGACCGACGCTCAAACTGACGAGATTCCAGGAGCGAACCACTATGGCAGGTCCGGGCAGATGGAAGGGAAGCTCGGCTTTTCCGTATGGCAGAGGGGGCAGAAGGGGGCCCATCTAACAAACAATAGTCATATATCATGAAGAACATTTCCCCATACAAGACCCGACATGTAGTCGAAGTCACGGGCATTCTCAATTCTGTTTCTCGTTGTGGGTAAAAAAGAGAGGTTCCGTTGCTCACCTAGAACGCTCGTGGACATGCCTTCCCCTATCTGGGCCCTCGCGGCCGCAGTCGCTCCGGCTTTCGTCAACGCCGCAACCCTCGCCGACGTCTGTACGACCGCCCATGCGCAAGAAGCTCTCCCCGCGAGCGGCTTCATCCCCGGCATCACCATTGACGCGTCCTCCGTCGTGACCTCGGTGGTCAGCAATGCCTCCGTCTCCTCCGAATGGTATCCCTCAGCCACCATCGAGTACTGCAACGTCACCTTCGCCTACTCCCACGACGGTCTCACCGGCGACAAGGTTCACGTCACATACTGGGTGCCCTCTCCGGACGCTTTCCAGAACCGCTACGTCTCGACTGGTGGCGGTGGCCTGGCCATCAATTCTGGAAGCCAATACATCCCCACGGGAATCATTGTTGGCGCCGTTTCTGGCATCACCGATGGTGGCTTTGGGGACTTCAACACGCAATGGGACGCAGTCTTCCTCGCGGCCAACGGTACTGTCAACTGGCAGTCCGTCTACATGTTTGGATACCAGGCACACAATGAGCTGGCTACGCTAGGCAAGGAGTTCACCAAGAAGTTCTACAGCGTTGCCGCCGACCAGAAGATCTACTCCTACTACCAAGGCTGCTCCGAGGGAGGTCGTGAGGGATGGAGTCAGGCACAGCGGTTCGCTGACCAGTTTGACGGTCTTGCCATTGGCGCGCCTGCTTTCCGATGTAAGTCATATTGCCAATGGTCTCTCTTTTTGTATGATACTGACGATCGCCAAAGACGGACAGCAGCAGGTCAACCACCTGACGGCCAACGTCATGGAACAAACCCGAAACTACTTCCCTCCAAGCTGCGAACTCGAAAAGATCCTCAACATGACCATCGCCGCCTGCGATCCCCTCGACGGCAAGACCGACGGCGTCATCGCCCGCTCCGACCTCTGCAAGAATACATTCGACTTCAACACCACCATCGGACAAGCCTACTCCTGCCCCGCCAAAGCCGCCAGCACCGGCCCCGGCTTCCCTACCCCGGCAAGCCCGGCCCAGAACGGCACCGTCACCACCGAGGCCGCGACTTTGGTCAAGGACTACTACGACGGCCTTCACGACTCCACGGGAAAGCGAGTCTACCTCAACTACCAGCCCGGTTCAGCCTTCTCCGACGCGACGGCCTCGTTCGACGAGGCAACGCAGACCTGGGGCCTGAGCATCTCCGGCCTCGGCGGCGAATGGGTCGCACGATACCTCCAGCTCCGCGACACCAGCGACCTCGGTACTCTTGCCAACGTCACCGCTGATACCCTCCGCGACTGGATGCTCTACGGCATGAACAAGTACGCCGACTCGCTGCAGACGACGCACCCTGACCTCAGCGGAATCCAGTCCGCTGGTGGCAAGATCCTCCACATCCACGGCGAGCAGGACGATTCTATCCCCGCCGCCTCGTCGGTGCACTACTACGAGTCTGTGCGGAGCATCATGTTCCCCGGCCAGGGCTTCAACGAGAGCGGTGCAGCCATGGACGATTTCTACAGGCTGTACCTTGTTCCTGGCGGCGCCCACTGCGGTGCCAACTCGAACCAGCCCGGCGGCGGATGGCCTCAGACGACGCTGCAGACTGTGATCGAGTGGGTTGAGAAGGATGCTGCCCCGGCGACGCTGAACAACACAGGTGTCGGCATCGACACGCTCTGCCGCTGGCCTATGCGGCCTTTGTGGTCTAACGATGGTGCTTCCTTCGATTGTGTTTATGACCAGGCTTCTATTGACAGCTGGATGTACACTTTCGATGCCTTCAAGATGCCCGTCTACTGATTGGCCAGTGGTTATTCTCTTAAGCCATGCCACACTTTAAGGCTCTAGTCCTCATGGAATACTTGCAGACCCGAGGAAGGAAAGGCATATTTGTACAAAGCTTCTGGACTATTCGTGTACATATTTGTTTCTCAGTAACTAGTACAAAGCCGATTAATCTTCATGTCTAAGTAGTGTCTGCAAGGCAGACGTTCTCAATTCAGACTTGAGCTCCTCCACATGCTGGATGTGGATGGCATGCTCCATGACAGAAAAGTCAAACCCATTATCCCACATCATCTCCGGGCAATGATCGATGCTAGATTTTCTCCGGCGAAATGAGCCGGTGGGCAGCCGCTCACAATATGGTGAACAACTTCAAGTATTCGTCGCCCCCACCGTTCCTTGCTTCCCACTGTGTACTTTTCTGCCAACATGAATCTTCTGCTTTCGCATTCGGGTTCTCAGTACATCCTTGTAGACGCTTTAAGAGATACAGCTCTCATAGAAATAATGCTCGAGACTACCCGAATCTAGTCGGCCTTGCGAACAGTGGCACTTGTGGCCTCCAAAGCTTTGAATTTTGTCGACGTGACCCAACAAGTTTCTTCGGATTGGAAAGGTCGTGTGTCGTGCAGATGAAAAACTTAGCTTAGATAGAGATCTACGGTCCCCGCAAAGATCGGACCCCATCGACTACTTTGACATGCTAGACGGCTATGACGGCATCAAATTTTCAGTTTTCCTAGCTTAGGAAACGTAAGGAGAAAGCCGATGTAATGCGAATGGCGGCACGGAAAAGGCTACGTGCACTGGTGTTGATCTAGAGTCTACCTGGGCACCTGCGGTAGAGTGCCTAAGCTTGAAAGCACCGCCGGCCTTATTATCATGAGCCTCAGTCTATGAAGTGCATTGTATGACATGTCTATGTAGGTCGCATACCGCGATATCAGTGGGAACATAGCTTAGCACAGACCTTGTTCAGGCAAGTGAAGCTTTTGGGAAAACTTTAGCGAATAAATCAGCGTCTGTACTCCCGAGGATCGTCGGCGATCTCGAAAGAACTGATGGCATCCTAGACCAGGTCCTGGGAAGATCCCTGCACTGGCCATCGACAATCGCAGATTCTCCGTTCATCTGAAAGAGCTCCCAGAAGGGAGATGGAACGTTAGAGAACGGAGGGTAGCAATTGCTTTGACTTCAATCGGTCATTCCTAATCATGTTGGAATGATTGTTTGCAAATGTTCCCAGAGACTCTAGGTTAGCCCCCTGCCCACTAACTTCGCCTCCGTCACGGTTTGCTGCCCGTCGCCATGTTGAACCTCTCGTCACTGCTCATAGGGGAATATTTCATTATCATTTCATATTTATTACAAAAAGCGTCACAAAGGGGATATCACTCAAGCCCTCCCACCGTCCTTGGTCGTCTCCTCCACAATCGACCACTTCGTCTCAATCGTAATCGCCTGCGCATTCCGCGGCAACCTCTGCGTCGACTCCGTCTCCGAGATATCATCCTCGTCCGTCCCGTTCGACCGCCTCCTCAGCTCTCCCCTCCCGATCACCGTCGTCGTAAAGTGCACGTCATTCTTGCCGTACATCGTCTCGAGCGGGATTCCGTTCGTCAAGTCCTCCACCAGGTGCTCGTGCTTGCACGACTGGCTATTGCCGCCCAGCCGCGACACGTACTCGTCCGTCTCGAAGCGGCGGTGCTTCCAAAAGGCCCAGAGCGGAAGCAGCATCGGCAGGGAGTTGCAGAGGATGGTGAGGTTCGTTTCGAGGACCGTGAGGAAGGTTGCGACGGGCATGTTGCGGACGACTTGTTCTAAGCTGTAGACGTCGATCATGATGCGGAGCCTGACGATGGAGGCGATGATGGCTCTAGATCGGAAAATGTTAGACAACGATACTGGTTCATTCATGACAACGCTCCATCAGACGGCCGGTCTGGATGGATTGGGTCCAGCAACTCACATGAGATTCAACAAGAACACACCACTCAGCCCCCACCGCGTCGACACGCTAACCTTCTTCAAGCTCCAAATCGTGTACAGCGGGACCAGCATGATAACGGTATTGGTGATGCAGTTGAACAGTCCCGTCGAGAGGATGCTTGCCTCGTGCTCGCGGCAGATGTCCTTATTCGTCGCGTGCCACTTGCCGTTGGTGATGTGGCAGACCAGCAGAGTCTGAAGGATGTTGCCGATGCCCCAGAGAATGACGATGAGGAAGGTCATCTTGGTCGCCAGTCGCATTGGCGGGCTCGTGAAGACGCGGAGGTAGAAAAAGAGAACGCTGAGCTTCGTCGTCAAGCTGACGAAGCCAAAAATTGTGTCGGAAGGGAGGAAGAGCTACGATTTGCCGTCATGATTAGCAACCGATGAGATCCGAGTAGCCCCCCATAATCTCACGGCGAGCTATGAGGTCGAGTTGATAGGGGAAACTCACAGAATCTAAAAACGTCCAGTTCGCCTCGACCTGCGAAAGCTCATATCCCAGACCGGCGGACGTCCCTACAGCCAAGTTTTAGCAACAGATTTGTCAAACAGTCCATCTTTGAGCCTCCATGGCACAGTTTCGTAGGATGCTTACAAAGTCCTTGTATCACCAACAAAGCAATCCCCTGAGGAACAGCCAACAACGTAAAGTAGTCATCCCAGCCCAGCCTAGACCCCGCCAGCACACGGGAGACGACCCGTAGCGCAACCACCAACACCGTCACGAAAGCCACCACCGAGTTGGCAATGAGATACGCCGAAGCCTGAGGCACGATAGGCATCTTGGTGTACTGCATGTGGGGAGAGTGCCCTCTGTCGTCGTTCGGGATGTCGAAAGGGTGCGATCACGTCGATCTGGCCTGAGAAGCTTTTCCTGGTGACTTTGGCGGAGTGCACCGAGCCGGGGGTGGGAAGAGAAAACGAAAAAGAAACAGAAGAATTCCGAGAGATTGGGAGGGGCAGAGGAAAAGAGGAATACAGGCCATGTTTAAACTCGAGATACTGCTCCTCGCTTCACTTGCTTAACCCACTCTATCGCTTTCTCTCTTTCGCTCGCTCTTCCAACAAGCAACGCACACAGGGATAAGGTCACATTGAGTTCCAACGCATGGGAAAACGCGCCTACGATTCTCGCTCGAAAGGGCAATGACTCGCACTGGGGCGTGATTGTTCCCCCCTCCTCCCCTGATCTCGCTTCCCCCGGGCTATATAGTGGGCACCTGACGGTGCTGACTCGGAAGGGTGGACTGAAAGACGAGAAAAAGACCAGACATATCGTTGAGACCTACCCAAAGAAAAGGCAGAGAAACCCACGATGCTAGGAACGCAATAGCCCGCACATCCACATCCCAACTTGAGGCGGTTTTCCCATTCGCCTCGCTTTCTGAGCCTTGACTCCTTGCGCCCTCCCCTGGTCTAGCGTTGTCCGGGGCCCTTCGCTAATACCGACAATGTCCATACCTAGACTTGTCAGTCCACGCCAGAATCTTCAACACGGAATCACATAAATCCTCCTGTCCCCCCTTGTTCGTCACATCCCTTACCCGGGGGACGCCAACGCTTTACAAGTTTGCTCCTAGTGAAGTTGCATCTGTCAAGGTCGCTTAGGTCTTGGTAAAGCCGCCCCCTGGCTCGGAGACCTATGCGGCATGCTGGGATAGTTTAAGAATTTATGGCTCTCAGCGCGGCACTTGATTGCTGCGCATCCAGCACCAAGGGAGGCGAATTGCGGGATGTGGTGGATCTTCCCCGATGTCACACGTGGGCGCAAAGTTGCACTCGGAACTCTTCGACCATTAGGCGTCGAGAGGAGCACGGAGTACACATGTACAATTGGAAAGAATATGCAACCTAGTATTAGGTTGTTGAAGGAGTTGATTTCCAGACTTCCCAGACTTCTTTGCTAAAAATGTGATAAGTACGTAATCCTCTTGGGCAAAAGTCGAAAACTCGGCCAAGTTCACTGCGGATGGTGAGTCAAGCGCCGGGAAGCGGCACGTCGATCAAAAGCAACTACCAAAGACCCAAGCACTTACCTGAATGTGGACATCACCGAGCATCAAGGAGAAAGCACAGGAATGGTTCGATGCCTGAGCGCTGAGCTGAGCCCGGCTCTCTGGTCCCCATTCCCAAAGAGCAAATTCAATCCAGTTGCGGATACCATTTCCATCGCCAGCAAGCAACCCCCCACCTAGACCCTTGCAACTAGGGCGCTAGTTGGTTGCAAAATAGAATGGTTGCGCTATTAAGGTTAATTACGTCTATGAACCTAGGGGCTTCGGGCGGGTCTGGCTTTCGTCAACAGTAGCACTACGGATAGCAGCGCTCCTTGGCCTTGCCTAAAGCGGATGGTTAGTGCCGGGGATGGGTCGACGTCAATGTCTTGTCTTGGGAGTTGCCATCCGAACATGGCGATAAGGTTAAGAGATCGCTTTCACGATTGCGAGACGAAAACTTGGCGCGAAGGTCGCGTCTAGTATGAACTTAAGGGGTCGCAAGTCCCATGTCACGTTCAAGTACGGTGTCCCTAGTTGGGCAAGTAGCATCCGCAGAGCGAGGAGTTCCCGAACTATAGGCAGTCGATATTGGAATTGAGGTAGTATTATAATATGAACCATGGTCTAGAAATATGATACCCATTTACAGTTGGGTGACGACACCCGGGCTCGAAGATCAGCTCTTTGTGAAGCATTAGGGCAGGGTCCAAACAAGAGCTACTTTTAACTTGAACAATGAAGCTCCAACGCTGTATGGTTTCGAGGGTCTTTGGTCAAGTATCCTGTTGCTTATTGTTACCGAGTATCGAAGGACAATGCTCTTTGACTTGCCGAAGGCAACAAAAGATCGAGAGTGTGTAAAAGAAAAAAACGACAACACAGCTAGAGCTTTGAAATCAAGAACCTTTCAAGAGGGAACCATGAGAGAACGATCTTATATCTATCAATGTGCACTCCGCCGTGTTAGATTAGTCTGGATTCATCAACGTCGTCAATTAAGACTGCTCACTACAGTCTACGACTAAACCATTCAGACAAGGTAAGAGACACAACCCAGCCCATAACTAACATCCTCTCTAGACACCCACACCCATCCGACAACCACAACTTTCAACCTCACCAATGCCCTCCCCGTCCCCATCCACAAACTACCCCCCTCGAGGCGTAACAGCCTACACCTCAACCTCCGGTCCCATCCACGCCCCCAACCTCGAATCCCTCAACCTCCTCCGCGCCCGCCCAGACTACGAATCCTGCATGCCGACCCTAACCTCCCCCGAACTCGCAACAGACTGGGACGCCCACTATCTCCTCCCAAACCCCTACCAGAACCCACCCACCCTCGACTCCGTGACCAACCCCCTCCGCGTCCCCCAGGCCGAAATTGACGCAATATGGGACCCGTATAAACTCGCCGCCATGATCGCGCGTTCCCACCAGGACATGAATATCCTCGACTACATCATCATCGAGGTGCAGAGAGAAAAGTACGACGTGGACCGCATCCTCGACGACGTGGAGCGTAAGAGGAACGGGGGACGGTACCCGTACTTTTGGACGAGCTCCTTTTCATTCTCCTCCTCGTTTTCCAGACGTGGATGGGATAGCAATGACTATCGCCGACGTCGAGCAGCAATGTGCAACACAGACATTACGCCCTCCCGGCAGTACAGGGTCAACCCACAGTGGGACGTATACAAGCTCCGTGAGGTCTTCTCAAGTCTCCAGATTGATGTCGGAAACAAGTTAGGTCGACTTGCTCACGTCGAGGCAGAGTTGCGTCGCAAAGTGCTTCAGCTTAACAGACTTTTATAAGAGGCATCGAGTGTGCTGAGTTGGAAGCAAGTTTGTTCTCTGCCGAAAAAGAAGTGGAAACTAACCTTTTGAGTTTGAAAGTAGGTGTAGCGATCCTGGTGTGTTGGAGGAACGTCAACTTCAAGCGCAGAATCGGGACAGGGGAGGTGCTGAAGGTAGGTAGGGAAGCATAAGTAGAGAATTTGAATTTGCCAGACTTCCTGTCCATGAGACAGAGGCTGGCCTCATACGCCTTATTAATGGCTAACCATGGTATCTATGTGCCCTGAGCAAAATGTGGTATCATAATCTCGTGACCTGTGTAAAGTAACTCCGTAAGCTTTTCCATCCGATGAATCATGATCCCTTTTCATATCCCGAATACCATGTGTAACGGTGCCTCGCCATGTTGCTCCCCATCATTAGACAGGCTCGAGCCTCTCATTCCAAGTAACGCCAACCAAATGCCGCTTTCTCAACTGAGTCGAGCGTGTACCTTAGTCGTCTCCAATGTCCTCCTCGTTGTCCGTCTCGAGGAGGTCCAAGAGACTAGGGTGTGGTTCGCCACAACACGGGCAGATGCCAAGCTCGTCATCGTCGCCCATCATATCCTCAATGTCCTCCATGGGGTAGCCACTGCTGCGGCAGAACTCGGTCCACTGGCGGTCATCACCATCCCCGTCACGGCTCTTGGGCACCCTCTTCCAGATCGTCAAGTCCCGACGGCTAGGCGCGGACTTGGGGTGGCCTGTCTCTCGGGGCGCAGGGGGCATGATGGGCTCCTTAGGATGATAGTGGCCTTCATCAGTTTCATTTCCAGGGTCAGAGTCGGAATCACCGTCGTCTTCCCGCTTTGCCTTGATTGTCTTCCAGGCCCGAACAACACGCGCGCAGCTCGAGATGCCCGGCAGAGGCTTCAGGGAGTTTTTGACTTGAACAAACGAGGGCAAGCCAGCAAGGAAGAGGCCCTCGTCGCGCAGAAGCCCAGTAAGCTCTGCGGTGGCCTTGCTGCCAGCATCGTCAATCGGAAGACCGGTGACTTGCAACTCATTCAGAGAACAACCGAGTTCGTGTGATGCCACATCGTGCAGGTCGCTGCTAGGCATAGGGAGAAAGTCGTCGATAAAGTTCACCAAGTCAATTCTGAGCGACTCAAGGCCAGGAAGCAGCTTGGGGCGCACTAGCCCTTTGTCATGCTTGGGATCGAAGGGAGGGCGGAGGGCACGCAGGAAATCCGTTACTTGAGCCCACGTGTAGCAGCGAAAACCGCCACGGGCATAGGTTCGCTCACTGACGCGAGGGACCGTCCGCAGTGTGATGTCGCTCTTCAGAGACGGGTGGTAGGATCGCTCAAGCTTGTGCTTTCGCTTCTTGTCGTCGTAGAATTGGGCGACGATGCGAAAGTTGACATGCTTGATGTCCTTTCGAAATCCAAAGTCCAGCTCGGCAAAGTTTCTGACGGCGTGTTCATTTGTGAAAGTGAAAGTGTTGTGGCTCCAGAACATACGGCTGCCTTCGTCATGCATCGCCTTGCATGTCGCCAAGAAGTGGATGGCGATTTGATTACCACGGCTTTTCTCCTGGGCTGTGAGGTTGTCGGGCGTGATTTTCGTCAAGGGGTCGATAATCGTGTCCTTCGAGGTCATCGAGTACTTGAGAATGCGCAGCAGGACCTCTGTTGGAAGGTACGGAAAGGAGCGAGTTCCTGAAGACGGGGCTTGTTTTCGCCTGGCACCTGCTTGGAGGTTCTGATAGTTTGCGGATACGGGCGACCAAGAGATGCCGTTTTCTCGGAGCAGCTTCTTCAGCTTCGCATTCTCCTCGGCGAGGGCCTGATTCGATGACCTGAGTGGCTGGTTGTAGTAGGCTTCGGCCTGATCCTCCACATCACGGCACTCCCATGGCATGATCTCCTGGCTGTTGATTAGCGTGCAACAAAAGTAAAGCAGAAAACAGATAGACCCACGAATTCTCGGTTTGCCATGGCGATGGATTGGGCTGCAGAGTCCGGCGAGGTTGCGAATTAGGAGGGTTCCTCGACCTCGTGGCAGGTACGAATGGGTCTCGGTCTGTCGAGGTGGAATGCCGGCGCGGTTGAGGGACTCGAAAATTTAATCCGTCGATTTGGAGTTCGGCAATCTTTCGTTGTTGGACGAGAAGTGGATGGGGGTTGAAATTGCAGGTCCCGGCCAGATTGTTGATCAAGGCTCAAAGAGACAACGCCACTGATTAGGTAGGTTGAACCTTGACGTCGGTGACGCAGGGTACAGCAATTGGTCGGAGTGAGTACGGAGAACAGCGAGCGACCTTGCGATGCGGCCCACGACTGGAGAAAGAATAAAAAGTGAAACGAAGGTTTGAAGGGAAAAAAGAGAAAGAGGTGGTTCGGGCGTTCGTCCTGACGTTATGATGGGGTGGAAATAAAAGTCAGCCAAGCCGACAATCGGATGTCGGTCGGGTGAACAAATTGGCGGGAAGGTGAGGGAGGAAGAAATTCTTCAGTGGCCGAGTCGTTGGTAACAAGCCGGCAGTGACGGATGACGATGCCTGAATGAGGGAGTCCTGGCCGTGGTCGGGTCGGGCTATCGAGTCGTTGAAGAGGTTAATCACTAGCGTATCCGTAGAAAGGTGACAAGAGCTCGCAGCTGAGTCGGGTCGGAATCGGCTTGTCGGGTTTTCGCGCCGTCTGCTGGCCCGCCTGTTCTATCGTGAATCAGGGTCCGCGAGGGTGAAGGCAGACTGAAGTAAATCACTCTAAGCGGACCTGATGTGGTTCATCAGTGAGGATTGAATTCCGGGCGTAGATGAAAGAAGGAAAAGCGGGCGATGGAGGGTTGACGTTGAAGGGAGCAATCACGAGGGAAAAAAAAAAGGTTCCAGAGAAGAGAGATGACGAGGGGTAAATGCGAAGCGACGCCGCCGGGAGAGGTGGCAGATCTGCGCGTAGGCGAGGGAAAGAAAGTGGACGGGACGGGGATGAGGCAGGTGAGGACTGGACGGACCTTCTGGTGGAGTGCGGGTGACGGTGACGGCGGCCAGTGGCAGCAAGAATCGCCGACGTTTTTTTTTTCTTGGTCCTTATTTCCCTTTTCGCCCGTCTGGCTACCTTATGGTGGATGGTCGTGCTTGCCTACCTTACTCAGGTGGTAGGTGAGATCGGTGAGGTAAGGAAGGTGCCTGCTCCCACGTTCGGCAGGCAAGCGACGTTGCGCCGTCTCAGACTCTTCAGCTTTGACGGTGCCGATGTCCGCCGAAACTCCGACGTGAGCTTCTTTGCTGGAAGGCAGGCAGGCTGCAGACCACACCTTCTTCTTTCCTAGGTAGGTACTTCTGTCTTTAGACCACGAGACTGACTACCGGTGTCAATCTGCAGGCGCTGGGTTCGGGAAAGAATCATTTAATGTGAGATACTTGTCTTAGACTATTAATGCCCCTGGCACCTAGGTACCTAGTGTATAGTAGACATAGTCACCTCGCTGCGGAGAAGCGAGCTTGAGGTGGGATGGGGTTGCAATCCTCGCACCTGCTGTAGGCGAATGTGTTTAACGACGGTAGGAGCTGCTGCATTTGACGGGGGAAAGTGCTGAACGGAACGAGAACGGTTGTATCTTTCCTGGACGGGAAGAGCACGCAGCAACTGCCACGACACATGAGACACTGGACAAGGCAATTGGCCGGCTGGAGTATGATTTAGTGGGGCCTTCTGCGACTGCCCGACGGCGATTACTCGCAGATTGGATGCACTGATTGCAGATTCCCATGAGCAGTTGGATGGACGAGATGATGATGCTTTCTGGGGAAGATGACAGTATTAACAACCACAGAAACGAAGCAGTGATGAGCAAGGACAGCAGGGGCAGGGGGCAAGATATAGGTACCTAGCGCACGGTACCTATACAGGGGTGGGTACGAAGTACTTGAGGTAGCTTCCGAATCTGCTCTGGGCTCTTGGAGTCAATTGCAGTCATGTGGAAACTCTAAAGGTCAGACGTTAAGCAATCAAAGATGGGAATCGCTTCTTTCCTTTGGTGGAATCGTCTTTGACAAACAGCAATTGGATATGCTCTACCAACGGGCCAAACTGCCTAGGTATTTAGAAACAAGCCAGGAGAAGAACAAGCGGCTAACATGCGCAAACGTGGCTGTCTAGCTCTCCATCTTGACCTAATGTATGTCTTGGATTGATCCCGATCTGGACTTACACCGAAGGGCAGCCGCAGTTCGCAGTGCTGCATACCTTACGAGGTACCATGCGATCTCCTTTACATAAGGTGGATAGGAAAGTAAACAGAGTGCGCCTACCTGCCTTAACATACCTTAGGATGCGTTATGTAAGGGAAGAGAGAGGTGTCAAAGGCAGGAAAGGAGACACGCGGGGCAAGTACGGATACCCCGTTGTAGCTTCCCGAGCCGCATCACGATCGTTGTTTGGTGGCAGCATCGGGCCCGTCAGTCACGACATTGTGGGAGTTGCCGACAGAGCACCTCAGTCTGATCCTCCAAGTCACGCAAAACTCTTACCCCAGATAATCGGGGCAACCACTAGTCGTTTCTCCTCTGTCTCGCCGTGGCTGTTAATGCCTTCAGCCTTTTTGTCTGTGCCTCTCGCATCTGCATCGCGACTGGGACTATGGAGAATAAAATGCCACACAGACCTGCGACAGCTGACGCCGCTGGCACAAGTCGCGATCGAAAGGCTAAGTCGAAGCTCGGATTGCGCTACCTTGTCTGGGCATTTATTGATTGAAGACCTACGCTCCCCACTGAAAGGCTACCTTCGTGAGTGAAGCTCTTTCCGTCGACCGAGTAGCTCATGTATTCAGTAGGTATTCCGATGGTTGTTCATGTGCCCTGCACCCAATGCCACACAGGAGCAGACTCACTCCTTCGGAGCAATCCAAAGAAGCACTCCACACCCAGTGCCGATAACATCAACCCGGCTTCGACCACGCAAACAAGACGATCAATGATGAATTTAACCCCATAAAACGCGTCGTTCATCTAGACTTTCATGGAGCAGCCTACCTTACCTAGTTTACCTCATGGAACCCCATTTGTCCGTCGTGCCACTGCGGGCTGGCCCCTTCTATGGTAGGCAGGAACGCCATCTGCCCCTCCGCTCTTGACGTCATGATGTCTCGCCCATTTGCTGCTCTGCAGCTCAAGCTCCCTAACCTCCGCGCGACCGACACTGCGACCCGTGGTCACTCGGCCGTCGCTCAGTCACTAGCTAGCTACCTTACCTTAGGTAATTCCTCTTTTGAGACCTTTCCCAACGTGCTTTTTCGATGATGAAATCGGTCGTGCCTGGCTGCACGTAGCTACAGCAATGAGGTCAGCTCGCCTGATGGGCCGCCCTAGGTCGGAGGGGGTTCAAATACTTCTTCTACAAGAACCTCCCTCCTGCAACTCAATGTCTTCTCCTGTACTTTTCTCACGATCCATCATTCGGACTGTTCAGCTCAATCGACGCGTTCAATCCCATTCACGACTAATCGACCTTTCCAAAACCACAAACACACTCCCAAGAACCCCATTCATCATGTCTTTCTCAAACACTTCCACCGGCAGCAAGCCCGCCGACCCCTACAAGGCGACCAACCAGGACAACGATGTCTCCGTCAAGGATAAGGTCGAGGCCTTTGTTAGCTTTGCCGACAAGACCAAGTTTGCCATGATGACCACCAGAGACGCAAAGTCTGGCGCTCTCGTCTCCCGCGCCATGGCCCTCGCCGCAACGGTTCGTTTTCTGCCCTGGCGCCTCTCATGAGCTCTTCTTTTCTAACATCTATCCAGGAAAACGGCGGCGTTGATCTGCTGTTCCACACCAACACCGAGTCCAACAAGACGGATGAGATCGACAGCGATCCCCACATCAACATCTCCTTCATCAACAGCTCAGGTGACTGGGCCTCCGTCTCTGGTGTCTCTAGCGTCATTACCGACCGCTCGCTGGTAAAGAAGCACTACAACCCTACCCTCAAGGCGTGGGTCGGTGACCTCGGTGACGGCACCCACGACGGCTCTGAAAACGATCCCCGCATCGGCATCATCCGTGTCAAGACCGTCAGCATCACGTATGCCCTCAGCAACGCTACCTTTATCGGCAAGGTTGCCCAGCTGGCCGAGGGAGTCGTAACCGGCAGTCCGGCAAAGGTCAACAAGTTGAGAGAGGTCTCTTCCCAGGAGGTCGAGCAGTACCGCTCAGCTTCCTCTTGAGCTGAGATACGTAAGAGTTGTAGCAATGGCGGCGGCATGTAATAATAGCACGAAGTAGATGAAGGTTATCGGGGGAATAAGCCACAAAACCCCGCCCAGTCACGGGATATGAATGACGATTACTGCTTCCCATAATCCGCAGCCCAGCTCTTGTCAAATGTCTCCTTGTTCACCGCAAATTCGCGAATGTAGTCGCGCTCCAACTCGTGTGCCCTCCTACCGAGGAGAACCATGCTGTGTAGTGGACCACCCAGGATCTCATCCGTGTCGCAGAGCTCCTTCAGTGTGCCAGCAACATACTTCTCGGTCTTGCCGCCCACGCGTGCTGCCCCGATAGCCAAGCTGTCAGGCGTATACACGCCCTCGTTCTTATCCTCTTCTATCTCGAGCATCTGCGCAGCGCACTGGCCGACAGTCATGTACCGCGGCGGCTGGTAGACCCTCCTTCCCCTCGCCATATCCTCGAGGCTCTGCTCCTTGACCTTGATGTCGAGCAGGACGAGCGTGTGCAGACCGATATCGCGGTTCTCCTTGATGCGGTCGTAAAAGGAGGCCGGCTTCCAGGTCTCGGTGAAGAAGACCATGGAGACGGTCTGGCCAAAGTTGTACAGCTGCAGGCCGGTGGCGCCGATGCCGGACATGATGGAGGCGTTGGGGACGGTGGCGACGGGGATGGAGAGCTCGCGGGCGCGGAGCACGAGGTCGGTGTGCGTTGTGGCGCCAAAGGGATCGCCGACGACGCAGAAGGCTACGTCTTCCGTCTGGGCGTCGCGGAGGATCTCGTCGCTGTTGGATTCGACCATTTCGCGGTCTGCTACTACGATTTCGCGGCCGTAGTAGGCTTCCTAGACGGTTTGAGGCGAGTGTTAGACAGAAACTTGTCACTCAAAGATGATTATCAAGAAGAAGAAGGATTTGAAGGGATGAGGGCGCACCAAGACGGCCTTATCGACGAGGAGGATGCTCGTGTAGGCTTCCAGGTAGACTCTCGAGGCCTTCTTGACGACTTCAAGGCCCTTGACTGTGATGTCAGTCTCGTCGGAGAGACCTAGTCCTACGAGGTAAAGCATCTTGACGGTTCTATTTTTGCGAATATTTGAGAAGAGTATTCGCGCGTGCTCGAATGTCGAGTCACAGGCAGTCGATCGAGAGGTTGAGAATTCGTTGGCGTTGGGCGTAACTTTTTTCTTCCACACCTTGGAGGGGGAATTGGATGGAGGGGTAGGTATCTTTTTTTCTTAGCGCTACAACCCCACCATTGCACCCCCTGGACCCTGTCTCGCCTGGCCCCTCCCAATTCCGATCCCTCAACCCCTGCAGCCTCACTCGACCCCAGCTCGGCTTCCAGGCATTAAATTTCATCATCGAACGCGTCTGGCCAAGCTCTGTATCCATCAACAACGCTATTGCTTGTCACGATTCCTCCTCAACGAACAAAACCGACTCCGATATTCTCGACCCATCTCATCTCTTCACACTGCGAACATCCCGACAAGGAGCACCGTCACGAAGTACCTACCTTCAGAGAGAAACCCACACGAAACCCAAACAATGGCCGACAAGAAAGCAAGCGCCTACGGCGCGCCCGCAGGCGACACCGACTTCCGCAAGACCTACGACCTAGACGAATACGCAGCCAAGGCCAAAGACCGCGAGGCCAAAGAAAAAGAAGAAGCAAAGGCCCGGTACGAGGCCAAGCTCGCGGGCAAGAAATACTACAAGCCCCTGACGGGCGACGAGACCTTGACGCAGGCGCGGCGCAACGTCCTGGACCTCAGCGCGCAGGTCGGCAAGACGCAGCTCGTCCCCGCGGGCGCGGGTGTTGGCAAGAGGGGTCGCGGCGCGGGATTCTACTGCGAGCCGTGCGATCTCACGTTCAAGGACAACAAGCAGTTTGTGGAGCACCTGAACACGCCGCAGCACTTGGCGAACACGGGGCAGAAGACCGAGGTCAAGAGGGCGAGTGCGGAGGAGGTGAGGGACAGGATTGAGTGGCACTGGCAGAGGAAGCTGGATCTGGAAAAGGAGAAGGCGACGAGTTTGCAGGATAGGCTTGCGCTGCGGGAGGAGGAGAATGCCAAGGAGGCCGAGGAGAGGAGGAAGAAGAGGAAGGAGGCGGATGAGAGGAGAAGGATTGAGAAGGAGGCGGCGGAGAAGGTCAAGACGGAGTATGGAGATGATGTGAGGATTGAGGGGGAGCATGATGAGGATGATATGATGGCTGCGATGGGGATTACGGGGTTCGGAGGGACGAAGAAGAAATAAGCTGTGCTGCGAGAGGCCGGCGATTCCGAGAGCTGTACGATGATCAGGACGCGAGAAATGATACCCTTGTTTGGCAACACGACGGGAAGAAAGATCCCGATATTCGGAGAACTACTTTGGACGTGGGAAGATGCGAATTAATTCGAGGCGGGACGGTGTTTCTTTGGTACCTGTCTCCCCGAATCTCAATTCTTGGCTGCCTTCTCTCACCGAGAAGCTGTCGGTGTGTCTCGGTCAGATTGCCGACCGAAGCCCCTCAGACACCGGCACCTCGAACCCCTGCAGCTCGGGTAACCCCACCTTCGCATTGGCTCCGATTTCGACAAGCAGCCCGCGGTCGGGTCCGTTTGCCGTCATCAGCAACCTCTCAACGCTGGATATTTCCAGTCCTTTCCCACCTCCCTCGAACAAGTGACTGGAGCAAGCACTGAAAAGTCTAGCTAACAAAGCCGGCATCTGAACGACTGCCTTCTTTTTTCTTCGATTTACGTCAGTCGAAGCCTCATCGGATTATTTTAACGAACATTACCTCACGCGCACCTATCGTCAGCTTTCCCTCAATCGTTCGTTTCCGCCGTCTCCAAGCGCAAACAACTCGAGACTCGGGTTTTGGTGTCACCGTCGATCGATCCTTGCCGCCCGACACATACACACCTACCTATACACAGACAGCTACAACGATACACAGATCAGAGCGTTGCGACACCATGGCATCGTCCTCTGCAGCTGCGGCGTCGCTGCTGGGTCGGCAGCTCAAGGAGATGCAAACGGGGAAGGACATCCCCGGTATCTCGTGCGGTCTGGTCAATGACAACAGCATCTTTGAGTGGGAGGTGATGCTCATGATCAGCGACGACTGCAAGTACTATGGAGGTATGTTGTCTTTCTTCCTCTTGCTTAAAGTGGACTCAGCCTGTCGAAGCTTACCACGCTGGCTGCCCCCTTCCCCCCTCCAACCCTCCAGCTTCCCCTCCCACCCTCAACCTCTTCCCGCGCGCAACAGCTAATATTCTTCTCTTCAATCAACAGGAGGCAACTTCCGCGCCAGACTCACCTTCCCGGCGAATTACCCCCTCATGCCGCCCTCCCTCACCTTCCAGACGCCCATCCCCTTCCACCCAAACATCTACCCGGACGGCCGCCTCTGCATCTCGATCCTGCACCCGCCCGAGGAGGATCAGTACGGCTACGAAGCGGCCTCGGAGCGGTGGAGCCCCGTCCAGAGCCCCGAGACGATTCTGCTGAGCACCATCAGCCTATTCCACGGACCCAACGACGAGTCGCCTGCCAACGTCGAGGCCGCGCGCATGTTTCGCGAGGAGCGCGAGGGCAAGAATAAGGATTTTAGGAGACGGTGTCGAGCTTGTGTCAGAGAGAGCTTGGGTGAGGATTGAGGGGCGCAACTTGCCATGGAAATATATTCTTCTTGTCCGTGAGCCCTGGGTGGCACGGCAGCGACCGGCCGGTCGGATGATTTGATGAGACAGAGTTGAAGAAGGGCGGAACTTGGACGAGGGTCCTGCATCATGGCGTTTGGAGATATCTACAGCATCGAAGCAGGCTGGCTTGGCATTCAAATTGACGCCTTCTTAATCCTCAAAGGAGCACTCAATATTGCAAGGGTATCTGCGTTTGCACCTAAAGGTTGCATATTCTCTCAGGTTTCTCGGGGGCCTCAGACAGTCCCTGTGGGTAAATGAAAAGGATCATGCTCTATGGTCACCACCATCCACCCCCTTGGGCTCTGAGCTACACGTAACGTATTTCCCTTTGCTGTCGCACCTCTCCTCTGGGTTAGGTCGATGGCTTCTCCCTCAGCCTCGAGGCCTTTCGTTTCGTATCCTCTCCTTCTAATATCACCTCCCTCTCTACGGAGTATGTTCTCCGTTGCCTCTGGCATCTGTGTTACAGACCACGACAAAACACGGTAATCAACATGTAAGAAAGAGCGCGCGAATTATTCCCACGCCCGCGTGAGCCTCCAGCCTCTCCCGTCTCCAATCCCTAGCATTTTCAACGCTTACCCATTTGTTCGAATGAGCAAGCTGGTGTTTCCCCGGGACAAGCCATAGTCGATAGCTAAGCCCCTCCCATCGCGGCCGCTGGTAGGACTTACGCAGGGGGCGGTCGTTGAAAAGCCCTCCTTTATTGTGGACGCCACTGTTGCCTTCAAGAGATCAGGCATGTTGGTTGGAGAAGGGAGCTCCAAGCTGCGGTTTTGGGGTCGAACTGAAGGTGAGGATGGTGAGCTCAGTACTAGCGTATCCAGTCGGCGTGGCTTCTGGACCCTTTGACCATTGTTGATGATTGCGTCTTCTTCCCCAGGGCACTTTGAAGCCAGATTTGCGTGAGGGCATGTAACCCCGTGTCCACGGTCTCGGTAGTGCCCCGAGTTCAAGTGACAAGTTCGATTTTGCCACGACGCCAACGATGACACACACACGAATCGTACACGTACTGCAAAGAAGCATACCTAGTAGTAACGAGAACGGCGAAAGACAGCTGGCACGATTTTAAGCCTCATTTCTGAAAAAGTTCCAGCCGCTAGTCGTTGGTTCCGAATTCGGCGGCGCCGACATACCAAGCAGGCAGGACACTCCCGCGGCTGAAAATCCATGTCTCACACATAGTCAAAGTAGTCAAAGCCGGCAGAGAGAGTAACTAAACTGCGCCAGAGCCGTTCTTGTCAATGTCGTGTTTCCTGCCCCGCACTCTGCCCTGCCACCAGCCTACACCCCTTGGGCATCCAAGCTAATACCGGTAGGCAACTAGTCGCTCGTAGGTTGTCGAATATCACGAGATTGTCCTCGCATCAACACACTCGTCGCCCCACAAAGTATCTCAAGTATTGGCAAGTATTGGCCAGCACCGTTGGGCGTGGCCTTTTGTTTAGATCGTTGACACCCTTTAAGCTAGACCGACTTTTATCTCAGAGTTCGTTGCAAGAGGACGAGGCCTAGTCAAGCCCACCCTCACGCCATTCCACTAACTTCTAAGAAGCTAAGAATCTTAATGGTCGTGATGAGGGTTCTTCTCCGTGTCCACACCGAACTAAACTCGGTGTATCATGACGGAAGCGAGTTAGTTACGGCGGCCCGTCAGTCACATCGGTCAAAACATCGGTCAAACGGAACAAACCCAGTCGTAAGATCAAACCCCCATGCGTTTCGACAACCAGTCACGACGCGTCATTGTTGGGGCCGCAGTGTCGGGTGCTACCGAACCAGTCCTCGTCTTACGAACCAGCCCTACAAGACTGTACGGCATTCTTAGTCTTGAGATAGAGTTCGCGCCAGAACAAGACGCCATCCTCCCGTTCAACTGCCTTGGCCGTAATGAACTAAGCGTTAAGCTTATTACTAAGTCAAATTGGGTTTGACTTTCATCATCGTGAACGAGTGCTATGTCGTAACGCCTACTTGCTTCGTGACATCGCCATACTCTGGAGAAAGTTACAAGCCCCAGGCAACCACATTAGAACTTTGTAGTAGAGCTAGACCAGTCAAGCACTACTAGCACGGAAGGGCCCCTCTGTATGGGGGCTTGGGGTAGCAACCTAGGCGGTAAACTTATCACCTATCAAGTTAGATCTGACTCCTATCAACGTTAACTGTCGAATCATCTACTAGATCTACTCCCTCGCTATCATTTCGAGTCCTTCCTACTAAGCTCTTCCAGACAACCATGCCATTGTCTGGCTGTTTGTGGCATCAAGATAGAGATAGCGATGCTGGAGGCTTATTGCCATGTGGTGAGGATACAAGCCAACCCACACTCAATGAGATTACGTTACATGTGGGCATTCAGATGTAACCGTCGGACTCAACGCAGATTATCTTACCACTAAGACTACCGCATTTCTGTTGTATATCAGTTCACGAATCTCCCCTCATCTCCCGAGAATGACAGTGAACAGCAGCATCCTCATCTTTACCTCGCAAAGTCAAAGCTGAAGCACTCCCCTCCCACGATCCTCTCTCTTCACTTCCTATCGACCCTTTCTGAAGACTGCTTTCAGTCCTTTCTGGAACCAAAACCCACCTATCGCAACGGTCGCAACAACAGCACTGAGACTTTTGAACTCTCGCGTTTGAAAGTCTTCCTATCTCCAATTTAACCGCTATATATACCCACAGAAAGTATGCCGGATCCGATTACAGTCGCGGCCATCGGCGCAGCGGCTACGGTTGCTGTATGCCTTATCACGACAGCCGCCCCCGAGATCAAACAGGCCCTTCGATGCCGTAAGACCGGACGGCTGTTTCGCAAGCTCAACAAGGCCCTGCAATTCCCAGAAAGTAAGATTCAGCTAGTTCACCTGATAGTATTTGGCACATCTTGCGGAGACTTAAGTTCAAACGCTGACGTGGCATGGTAGAGAACTATTGTGACATTACTCGCTTCATTGAAAAGATATACGACAGACAGCGCCGAGGAACTTCTCTGACCGCATTTCAACAGGCGGAGCTGGCTCGTGCTGAACAAATCTGGTCTACTCTGTGAGGTAAGTCGATGGCTATTAGCTTCACGATATCGTTTAATCGTATGCCGAGATTAACAAAACGTCTAGAGTTGAATTGTGATAAAGATCGTTATATCGGAGGGAGCGTATACTTCCTTAGTCATGGTCGTCTTTTGTTTTTCTTTAGATCCCAACAAGAATTACTTTACCTAATAAAAGTTTCCCCCACGTTTTCCGAGTTCGACTGACCATGACGCTGGGTAAGTGTGTATCTTAATGGAAATGCAAGGATGAGAATTAGGATTGAATCGGAACACATGCTGGAGGGTTTCTTACGAGTCATTACTTGTGTATCATTGAATTAGATTGTAATAGACTGGAATGAAAACTTCTAGGCCGTTGCAATCCACTCAGACGCGAGGCAGAAAAGGTGATCGGATTGCTGAATTGAATTGTGGTCAAAGAAGCGCTGAGTTACTCGCTGTATCACATTAAGACGTCCATCTACACCTTGGAATCCCGTATGGAGGATCTTAGA